AACAAGTTTAAATATTGTTCACGGTGTCTTAATTAAGGCTTACATCCCAGGCTTATTAAAGTGACTTAATTGAATATTCGATGGTGAATATAAAAATAAGGAGATGAGGTGTAATTGCATACCATTGAGACAACTATTCACCAAAGTTCAAATAAATTGGATGTAAGCAATTATAGGCAACCGTACGGCCTTCAACAAAGAGAAAATCCATACCGTATAGTCGGCTATAAAAGGCCCCGACATGAAAAATATGAAACAATTAACTTGAGTAAACTATCGGCCTAATTAATAACAAAACAATTTACGAAAAACAAAAATGACAGACATGAACCAACGACAACCACTGAACTACAGTCTCCTAACTTGGGATAGACACATAAAGAATGTAGCCGGGTTAAACATGTTTATGAACGCTCAACCCTCCTCCTAACCTGGGACAGTGGTGTGACAGCACAACATAAGAACAAACTATAAAAATCAGTTGAAAAAGGCTTAACTCATCAGATCGATACAAAGCAGAAAAACATCAAACATAAACACATAAAAACGTGGCACGGTATTTATCCATCCCTCAAAAAAATTTCCATTTTGTCTCCTTATTATAGTGAACTATATACTACGTTGGTCTGATATATATAAAATAACTGGAAAGTGATTTCAATGATTTCAATGATTTTAATGATTTCAATGATTTCAATGATGCAAGAAAAACAATGTAAATTTCATACTCAATTGACTTATATACTTCAGCCGTTATAATGGGAGTATTGGTCAGATATATACTTCAGCCGTTACAATGGGAGTATTGGTCAGATATATACTTCAGCCGTTATAATGGGAGTATTGGTCAGATATATACTTCAGCCGTTATAATGGGTGTATTGGTCAGATATATACTTAATTCAGCCATTACAATGGGTGTAATTGGTCAGATATATACTAAGCCGTTATAATGGGTGTATTGGTCAGATATATACTTCAGCCGTTATAATGGATGTAATTGGTCAGATATATACTTCAGCCGTTATAATGGATGTAGTTGGTCAGATATATACTTCAGCCGTTATAATGGATGTAATTGGTCAGATATATATACTTCAGTCGTTATAATGGATGTAATTGGTCAGATATATACTTCAGCCGTTATAATGGATGTAATTGGTCAGATATATACTTCAGCCGTTATAACGGATGTAATTGGTCAGATATATACTTCAGTCGTTATAATGGATGTAATTGGTCAGATATATACTTCAGCCGTTATAATGGGTGTATAGGTCAGATATATACTTCAGCCGTTATAATGGGTGTATTGGTCAGATATATACTTCAGCCGTTATAATGGATGTAATTGGTCAGATATATACTTCAGCCGTTATAATGGGTGTATTGGTCAGATATATACTTCAGCCGTTATAATGGGTGTATTGGTCAGATATATACTTCAGCCGTTATAATGGGTGTATTGGTCAGATATATACTTCAGCCGTTATAATGGGTGTATTGGTCAGATATATACATCAGCCGTTATACTAGATGTATTGGTCAGATATATACTTCAGCCGTTATAATGGGTGTATTGGTCAGATATATACTTCAGCCGTTATAATTGGTGTAATGGTCGGATATATACTTCAGCCGTTATAATGGGTGTATTGGTCAGATATATACTTCAGCCGTTATAATTGGTGTAATGGTCGGATATATGCTTCAGTCGTTATAATGGGTGTATTGGTCAGATATATACTTCAGCCGTTATAATGGATGTATTGGTCAGATAAACACTTCAACCGTTATAATGGGTGTATTGGTCAGATATATACTTCAGCCGTTATAATTGGTGTAATGGTCGGATATATACTTCAGCCGTTATAATGGGTGTATTGGTCAGATATATACTTCAGCCGTTATAATTGGTGTAATGGTCGGATATATGCTTCAGTCGTTATAATGGGTGTATTGGTCAGATATATACTTCAGCCGTTATAATGGATGTATTGGTCAGATAAATACTTCAACCGTTATACTGGGTGTATTGGTCAGATTGTAAATTTGTCTAAAATTGTATTTTGTATTGAAGTAATTAAACAATAACAACAAAAAGGGGGTAAGGTTTCTAAATATACATAACACTATATTTGAATTGAAGGTATATTTGAAGAAAATAGACCGACAAAATTTCAATATATATTGCAACCCAAGGTTAATTGGGATGTATAAACATGGTCATCTTGGTCTTCTTTGCCAAAGAGGGGTGTCTGTTGGGCTGTGTGGGATGTATAAATACGCAACCACGTCCAGTCGGTATATAAGGACGCTATTATCCGATGCCTCGTAAAAAAAACACTAAATACGTTTAGAACCTTTTTTCGACAATTCTTTGAGGGGTCCGTAGATGGCATTTGTAAGGCAAATTTATTCTCCTATACAACATATTATTATTTTCCAGTGGCAGTCCAAATTTCCCGCCTTGTATCCCTGTCGTCCAACCCTTCAAAAACTACCGATTTTATTAATTGTTAATACTTCCTCGGTCAAGAATATGCATAAAATAGTTGCCACTGAAGCAAGACTTAAGCAAGACACACTCAAATCAATGCATATTGGTAAATACGATAGAAATCTCTTCAAAAGATTCACATTAGGACAATAATTGCCGATTTACTATCAAACTGATTTGGAACAGGCAAATATTAAGGTTAAAATCCTTTCATTCTCTGAAAGGTAAACATTAATTTACCTGTTCCGCGTTGACCTTTCGTCCTTTTGCTGTAGTTTAAAATCGATTGATTGATCGTTGTTACGTCCAGTGACAAATATTTCATGCATATTCAAGAGAGAAAATTAACAATATTAAATTCAATAGATTTTGTGTAAAGTCGGTCGACCGGGGTGGGCTATTGTCTTGAATTTTCATATGACTTTCATATCAGTCCACCTGCTACTTCATCTATATATAAATGTCAGGAACAATTAATTGTAAGTAGATAACTATAGAAGATAATTCGCTTCTTGAAACCAAAATGAAAGTAAAGTACGCACGAGGTACATAAACTGATTATGTGAAGAATCCGCTCCTAAAAAAAATGATAAAAAATATACATTTAGTTGTATCAACATATATCTACAAATGGTCCAAATAATGACTTGCGAGCGATGTATGTATAAATAAAAAAAGAAGATTTGATATAATTGACAATGAGACAACTCTCCACCAGAGACCAAAACAACTATAATAGATATAGGAAGATGTGGTATGAGTGCCAATGAGACAACTCTCCATCCAAGTTACAATTTATAAAAGTAAACCATTATAGGTCAAGGTACGGCCTTCAACACGGAGCATTGGCTCACACCGAACATCAAGCTATAAAGGGCCCCAAAAAATTACTAGTGTAAAACCATTCAAACGGAAAAACCAACGGTCTAATCTATATAAAAACGAAAAACGAGAAACACGTATGAAATTATACATAAACAGACGACAACTACTGTAATCAGATTCCTGACTTAGGACAGGTGCAAACATTTGCAGCGGGATTAAAAGTTTTAATGGTACCAAACCTTCTCCCTTTTCTGAAACAATAGTATAACATCACAACATAGAAAAACACACTATAAAATATCAATTGGTCACCGTACGGCCTTCAACAAAGAGCAAAGCCCATACCGCATAGTCAGCTATGAAAGTGTAGTTATTCTTCAAAGTAAGATCAAGCTTTTGCACAAAAACATGAATATCATCATTCTTTTACAGGCTAATCTATAAAAAAGCTTCAAAAGCAGAACCTTGTTCTTTTACATTTAATTTTGAAAACTCATCAACATCATTCATTTCGTGATTTGAAAAACAGGCACGCGGTTTATTGATGATTTCTTGATTGCCAGATCTAGAATTGATTGAAAAATCTTATCAAACTTTCAACTGGTGCCATGGTTTATTAAAAATTAAACATATTTTACAGATTATGTACTAGATGAAATTAGATCACGCCCGGTTTTTTGTGGGATTCTTGTTGCTCAATCTTTAGTTTTCTATGTTGTGTTTTGTGTACTGTTGTTTGTCTTTTGGTTTTTTTTACCATGGCATGCGTTTTAACTTTGTTTTCGGCTATGAGTTTGAATATCTCTTTGGTATTTTCGCCTCTCTCTTATAAAATAGACTAAGTCTTATAGTTGTTAATTTCTGTGTCATTTGGTCTCTTGTGGAGAGTTGTCTCATTGGCAATCATACCACATCTTCTTTTTTTATATTAATTGACTGATTTGTATTGTTTTCTTTTGTACGTTCACTGATCGAGATAAAAGTGGGGTTGAAATACCAAAGAACAAGTTTAACCCTGCCACATATTCAATAGTTTATGATTGATTTATTCCCATGCAGTCTCTTTGTCCTTCCCATTGGGGTATTCTTAAGAAGATGCTCTCCAAAATCATTTGTTTGTATCATATTGGTGGCACTATAAATTTCATGCTGAAAGAAACTGTTTGTGATATATTTGGAGATTTATGTTTAAAGTCCAGTGGCAAATATTAAATGATGATCAGGACGATTACGATAATATTATTTTGCGATTAATCCTTTGGACGATATAATATATGTTTAATTTATCATAATCTCTGCAAAAAGAAAGAATATAAAAAGTATGTATATACATATATCCTTATTTTGAAAATTTTGTCTTTTTCTTTCTTTCTTTTTTTCGCTCTTTATAATTTTTAAGAAATTATAAGAAAAGGATAAAATGTTGTTAGTTCTTTTGGTCATGTTTAATTTCAAATTAGTTATACATGTGAAGCGGTTCTCTAGACATTTCAAAATAAAAACCCCCGTCCTGAATATTTGAGAAATATTTGCAACTGTCCGGTATACAAACATCGTTAAAACATCGATCAATCGATAATTCTTATTATCGTAATCGATTATATAATTATCATTTATATATTGTTTACGTATATTTAATGAAGGTAATACTATGAATCCTAGTAGCTGTACTTACCTTTTAACTTTGCAGTATAATTAAAATCAAATAATGTTAAGAGCACAATTGAATAAAGAACAAATTTCACATCGTAGAAAAACATTTTTCAATCCATAAAAAAACGAATTCAATATTCCACAATAAGTTGTATCCGTAAACACAAATTAACATAAACTCATTAAGATAAAAGGTTATCTTCTTTAACCTTTGATTTTACATACATCGCGAAGTACTATAAAACATGTGCAAATGTTTAAAGTGGATTGCCTACTTTATTGTGATAAGTTGGAAGCATGTGACGTGGTTATGCGCGTTAATCGGAAATCTCCCCAAAACACCTTGAAACAATTAACAGTCACAATTATATAATTATATGTATCTAAGTGCATCGGAAGGTAGTATCATTGCACTTTACTTTCTCTGGATATTAATTGGAGGTTTTGTTAAGTGCAGACTCCTTGATTACGTAATATACCTAAGTATCACATCATAGTATAGTGTATATATAACCGACTTTTAAAACAGAGATAGTTTGTGTTGAAATTTTGTATAAAAGTTTTCTTACGACATAGCATGAGGTTGTAACTTTCTGAGGTGTTCAAGACATTTTAGCTGTATGGAATTTACTTGGATTGATTAATTGTTGGTTGCTTATCGTACAGTGGCAAATATTTCATGCATGTTCAAGACAAGGACAAATTAACAAAATACAATAGGTAGGTCCTGTAATACAGACCTTCCGTGATGAAAGTCGGGAAAATATGGACTGCCAATGGAAAAGAGGATATATTGGATAGGGACAGAAAGTATACCTTGCAACAGGCCACCTACAGATCCCTCAAAAAGTTGTTGCAATGGTTCTTAAGAGAGAGTGAAGCTATCTCTTCATATTCTACTTGTAAGTACAAGGGCCAAAATATAAGTGTAAAGAAAAATAATACATATGAGGGATAAAAGTAATCACCAAAAATACTGGACAGTACATCAGACCAACACCGGCCAGACTAACCTGAAAATGTAACGGACATGCAAACAAACACTAACAAAGAAAAAACATACGGTCCAGATAGCCCAACTTCGTACATGCACAAAATGTAGTGGGTTAAAACAGTTTTACACGAACATATCATCTGGAGCATATATATCGCAAAATTAAAATACACAATCAAACAACTTTCACAGTATGCATCAACCAATAGGATGGCCACTTACTTGAATAAGTACCGGTGGTTGCTGTCGTATTTGATTACTTTTACTTTTTCAATTGTAAAAAAAATAGGCTAATGGTTTTCTCGTTTAAAATATTTCATTTTTTTCATTTCAGGGATTTTATATGACCGGGGTATATATGATTAGTTTTGCTTATGGTTATATATAGGCCACACGGTCACCTATAGTTTTGACGCTGATGAATAGTTCCCTCATTAGCCATGATACCACATCTCCTTATTTTAAACGGATATAAAAAAAAACATGCATATAACTTTGGAAAGCAGGCTCAAAATGTGTTTGCTACTACAGGAAGGAAGAAAAAAAAACACAGAGCTAAGGTGTTATTTGCTGAACTTCCAGTGGCAAATATTTCAACATGTTAAAACATATCACAAATTAAAAAGTCCTTCAAATCAAAGATACTGTAAAACTTTCCGATCAAGATGTAGGACGAGAAAAATGGACTGCTACTTGGAAAAGAGGAAATAATTGGATATGGACAGAAATTTGTTAATCAGTAATAGTGATTATTTATCACAATTGATTTCCATATCATTTAGGTAGAAAAAAGTATTTTTTCATATTAATAAAAATATGATAGAATAAATTGTGTGTCACTTGTATTCATATCGTCTAAAACGTAGGTTACTTTCTCTTTGATGTATACATCATACTTCTTTACGAAATCTACATTCTTATTGATAATCAGTCATTCTCGAATTTCAACTTACTATACGCCAGGACATATATTTTTATCCTGCAATCGACCTTTCTACTATACTAATAAGGTGCACAGATAACACGAAGCGATAAACGTATACTAGTCTAGTATAATAGTCTCCTGGTATCACACTTCTAGATCTGTTGCGAGCGAACGGTTATGTCAAATTACTGTTTACATCACAGTTCAATTTGGGGTCCTCGTTGCGGTCCGCGTTTAAGTCATGTCGATTTCATTCAAAAACAAATTCAACGATTGGGATGGAAAAAAATGTACAAAATCAATTGACGGATAAAGACAATAACTGTTTTGTGTCTTTAGATATCAGCTGTGTTTGTACTCTGCTCGAAACAGGAGTAATATAGCTCGCTGAAGCTAGCATTCCACCTGTTTCTTAGCCTCGTACAAATACAGCTGATATTTAAACGCTTTAAACAGTTATAATTGTCTATTTAACCTCTCTATACAGAATATCTGTTAATGGTTGTTACGTATAATTCTTTGTGCATCTACAAAAACACGAAGACTATATCAAAGATCAGATATATGTATCAGTCTTTGTGTGAAACAAACATGGACTAATGTAAAAGGCGAAGAAATATGTTTATACTATAATGCACAAAGAGATGGATTTTTTGTACTACATTATATAATTAATTTTATCAAATGAATTCTTTAGTACCCGATTCATATCTCTGGTGCTACCTCAGTGTCTCATGGTGGCGTTCGAGGGGTCCGTGTTCGATCCATTTCAGGATAAAATCAAAGACTTGAAAAATTGTATCTGTTGCTTCTCACCAAGCGCACAGAATTTAGGTGATATATCTATAGCTAGGACTACGGTCGGTGGATATCAGAATCATCTATAGGGTGACATATCTTGCTGCTGACTGAACATTACCTTGTGAACTAGCACGTTGAAATCCGGCTCTGTGTTTGTCGGTCAAGTACATATTAATAAAGCATGCGCGGTTCATATTCAGATATGAATGGGATATTCACCACTGGACGTTAAACATCAATCAATCAATCATCCAATGATCATCATCAAATATCTAGTTTCACAGTTACATATGTTGTTTGAAGAATATACTTATCTTATTTCAGAATACAAAATTAGTATATGGCAGGATCTGTTAAACTTCATTGTCGGATACGATTTATAAATGATCATATTACCCTTCAACTGTGTTCTTCAGGTCGTACACGTGTACAGCTAGCGTGATCGACGTCTGGCAATCTAGCAAAAATTCGAGTTTTAACTTTACCAGTGCTAGGGTCCTCTTGAATTTGCAGCTTGGTGAGAGGTTTTGTTCCATGATGAAGGTATCGCTGTTACTTTTAGCTGAAGAACAACAATCAACGCGTTGTTCCTCTGTTTGGTGCATGTTTTCTTGTGTTTTTAGTGATTATGTGTCTTGAATTGATATACACTGGATCCTTTCGTTTCCATTACTTTAAGAAAGTTTGCCTTTCCGAGTGTGCTGTGTCAAGGATTTGTATAGTCTCACTATACAAATCCTTGGCTGTGTGAATACTGGAAAAAGTTTCTATATGCTTGAGATGTATTACTTTTTTTTTTTTTACAGTTATCTGTGTTTAAGTAACTTCTCTTGTTAGCGCTATTTCGTGTTTTTCATTCTTTCATTTTGTTTATAATTGTTGAAAATAAGTAATTGAAATATAATTCTGTAATCCAATTGCATGTATACTTGTTCCGGACCATATGAGTACTGGGACCATACGCGTATGGTCATCACCATATGTATATACTCTATACAGAATACATGTTACTGTCTTATGGTCGGTCCGACCAAACTCGTATGGTCGGACCATATAAGTATATACTCGTTTGCTTATAAACGGGACGGACCATATGAGTATTTAAACCATATAGGCCGGACATATAGGTATTGTTTGCATAAATTCTAACTCCCTTGATTCGCACTGGAACACAATTAAAGGTTGTTATCCAAATCAAAATTTGCACTATTTGCTAACTGGAATCCTATCAACTTCTGTTATTGTAAGATCGTATTAATAGGAGCAAAAATACACCAAATCACTAAAAACAATTATAAGTATAAAATTTTAAATGCGGTTTTGGTGAAGAATAAAAAGTGACTGGTTTTGGACCAGTGAATGCATGGTTATATATACTGATTTATCGACCGAGTTACAGTTTTCGATATTTTTAATGTTAATAAAGTTAAAGCGTGAAATATAAACAACTAAATGAAAATTAGGAGCAAGTCCAAAGAAATAAATTTAATATATAGTATGGCATTATTCTGGCTATTTAATACGAGGTGCACCATGGTTGGAGTAACATGCAGAATACAGTTTTGTCAAAGTTATCGTTCGTTGCTCCAATAGATGTCGTTGTCGTTGTTATTTACATTTTACAACAAAATATGGCTACGACAACACCAGGAACACCTGACAATGAGGAAAAAGATAAAAGCAGAAAACCTAAGGGTATAATGACAGAAATGAAATATTAAACAGTACCTACTTATTATATAATAACGTGAAAGAAGGTTTTTAAATATCTGAAAACGTCATTAATCAGTGAACATGAAATATCAATAATCGTGCATCACCGGGAGATAATTTATTGAGGTTTGGCATGTGTGTCAAAATCTAGGTTTTCCTGGGTTGGGTGGGGTGATAAGGGGTCAGGTACTATGTATTGTGTGGTGGTAGGGATGAGCCGCAGAAATGGGTAACTTTTTCGAGCTTCATGATATATGATTTTAAGGTTCATCATAACAAATGAACAAATATGGCCGTATTTTCACCCCAAAAACTACTCTGTGTACAGACTTACCTGTGCAGTTTGGAAAGTTTTAAGGCCTGGCATCCACTAGATATATAAAAGTTAAATTTATTTTGCATATCAGAAAGATAAAATCTTTTTTGGATTATGATGGGCATTTTTTTCCGTTCCTGCAGAAAGTGTAAAAATAAACTAAGTTGGGATATAACTTTGAGATGCTCCCTCTCAGGTAACAACTGATTTGTATTGTATTGATTGTCCTTGATTGGCATGGACAAAAGATATCTACACATCTATAGGTGAGTTAAAGGTAGTAACTGAGTGGAGAGTATCAAATGCAATTCAGGTGTTTGTTTATTTTTACACCTTCTGCAGGAAGGAAAAAAAATGCCCATCATATTCAAAAAAAGATTTTATCTTTCTGATATGCAAAATTAATTTAACTTTTATATATGTAGTGGATGCCAGGCCTTAAAACTTTCCAAACTGCACAGGTAAGTCTGTACACAGAGTAGTTTTTGAGGTGAAAATACGGCCATATTTGTCCATTTGTTATGATGAACCTTAAAAGTAGAGAAATCAAGATAAAATATATGACCAGGTTGATTTCAGATTGAATCATAAGTATCTGAAACTGATCAGATGTCAATTTTTTCACAGATGCGATTAAAAGATTAAAACTACACGCCTCACATATTTGTCAAATCTTTTTCTCTCTCCATCATGCCCATGAAATAATGTAAGCACGAGAGCTGAAGGTATATTTTTAGTAAAAAATATACTGCACTGGCTATGATTGCCCGCATAAAGTAACAATAAGAAATAATTAATGTTACTTCCAAGACTAATTGTTGAAATGTATTTTTGGACATGGACCTGATTTCATACGGAAATTGCAGGTAACAATATCATTTTTCTTTTGCTACATCATGTACACATGCAGTTATTTTTGCCCATAAAATATATTCAGATAGACACCGAGGTAAAAAAAATGGTTGTTGTGCAAACAATCTGTGAAATAGATTTAAACAATTAAATTATGATGTACAAAACAGCAACTATGATTAAACTTCTAGATTTATAGAACCACATCATGAACATGACGTTCACCATTGCCATTAAAAAGTGGGGGTATTATAAAAACAACTCGCTATTCTCAAGTATGGATACCAATGAGCAAGATGTCTAATTTGTGGTTGGTGAAAATTTATATCCTTATATCCTTTCAAGATTTAAATGATATACATGTAGTTCAACGGTTCGAAGATGCAAATTTTGTGCAGTTACAAATGTATGTAGAAGTTCTTGTAAAATTCCTGTTTGTCAACACAAAACATATTATATATAAGTGTGCTTTCAATTTTTCATTGCTATGTTCATTAAATAATTTTCTATTTGTATAAATTTCTTCAAATATGTAAAACAACGCTTACGGGACAATGGCACCATGGGCAAGAAGACAGTAGAAAGAATCCTGATGCTACACACTGACATACAAAAAGGACATATATTGCCATTGTAAAATTTTGCAGTTAACAATAAAAAATGATACTCTTGTTTATATATGCAATTTTTTTATTAAATAGGGCCCCTGTCCGCAAATTTTTTTTGTCATTTAGTCTCTGAAGCAACAATAATTATTTCTTATTGTTACTTTTTACAGGCTATTGTCATGATTGTAGCCAGTCCAAAAAATATATGATAGAGTGTGAATTTTTATTATTCAAAATATATGGAAAGGGTGGGGTACACAATGGCTGCTGACCCCTACCACAAAAAGGTCAAAGAGGCTCCTGCAGCTGCATATTTACTGCCATGGTCAATACTAATAAAGTGGTCAATACTAGCAATTACTGGTCGATTAAAATTTTCATCTACATGTATGACAGATTTAACTATCAATTCTGGTAAAACATTGGTTGATAAGGGAGATAATTTTAGGTACAAAATGTAAATATTAAATTGCTATAACAATTATTTCAAAATGAAAAAATCAAGCTATTTTTACTTGAAAAGGTTTGATTTTTGCAGGTGACTAGATTATCAGAAAACTATCTATGGCTAACAGGTGTCAAAAGTTTAATTACTTCATAACACATGCCTCTGAATAAAGGTTGACATTTAACTGATAACAGGAAAAAAGTAATGTTAGTTATTTTTGAAGACTTTTTAATACAATAAATAAATTCCTGATCATGACCATTTTACTGTATGATAAAAATCTTTTAAATGCAGGAAATGGAAAGTTTGAAGGATCTATACTCTTATGGCTGGTGTTGTTACCTTTATCTTATTTATTTTTATATAAATAACACATAGCTGAGAGGGTGATAGAGCAGATTGTTACCCTGAGAAAACATTGTCAACTGAGGCGAAGCCAAGGTTGACAATGTCAACTCGAGGGGTAACCATCTGTTCTATCACCTTCTCAGATATATATGTGTTATTTAATTTATTATACTGAATGTTCTGTGTCTTTTAAATTTCAGATTCAAAGTAATAAACTATGATGTCTTGTACATAACAACCATCCGTATTTAATAAAGCGCACACTTGATCAAGCGTCTCCGTGAAGGGTAATAGAGTATTTACCACAGGATAGAGTAAATTGTCTCCCTCGTATTAACCAATCAAAATCTGGCATTTTGACATGAAGTATGATAAATTCTAATAATCACTTTTACACATGTAGCAGATCTGTCCACATACATGTACATGATATAGAATTTCAATTTACATGATTAATATTAAAAAAGGGAACATTATTAAAATTCTGATAATCATGATAATGACTTGACTACTTTCATATTTTCATGACTACCGGTAACCATTCGCTAACCCAGTAACCATAATAATATCACAGGACAGTAAGTCACAATTCAGTTTTGAGAACAAAATTTCTTTGAATAAGAAAAATACAAAAGAATACTGCCAAAAACCACAGAATAATACCTTCATTTGTTTTAAACTTTAGATTTAAAGTAAATTGGTTTTTTTTTACCTTATATCCACGGGCAGTGCCAAAGTATTAATATTAAAAGACAACCCAAGTTTTGAAAATTTTTAATGTATGAATGACTATGTACATGTACATTTTGTATATATTGTAGATACAAAATTTAAACAACAGAAACTCCCAGCTTGGCAGCCAATTTTAACTGCAGGAACTGTATTACCAGCCTTTTTTGCCATCGGTATTGCTTTCATTCCACTGGGTGTAGCTCTCTATATAACGTCAGAAGGGGTAAGTGCATTTGTACTTAACTTTTTAAGGTGGATTCATTTATTTTCATAGGTACCAATTTTTGTGGATTGAGGAAAACTCAAATTTTCATGGATATTTGATTGCATTGTTTTCCTAAAGTCTGCATAGAATTCTATATAAATATGTAATTCGTTGAACATATAAATTCGTGGTTTACCTATAGCGGCAGCCACGAAATCCACGAAAATTGGTATCCCATGAATATTGATGAATCCACAGTAATGCATATTAAATTCATATTGGAACTCTTATGAAATGCATGCATGTACAATATATATATATGTATATCATATAAGAAATTTTGTGAATCATACATGTACATGTACAAGGCATGCATGACCATGATGACATAGATGATTATTGGACTTGTAATATTTTTAGTTGTTATTCACAAAATGTATAAAGGCAAAAAATGTATTCTTTATAATCCTTGATACAAGTTATTATTGAATGGATATTGAAATACTGCTGATATAGTTTCTACTACCATGACTACATGTATATATATATAAATATAGCTACTATCCAGTTGAAAAGAATACTACAAGTAGCATGGTAAAAGATTACTAAACAATGATGATTGGTCAATGCTGTGTAACAAACTTTTAAAAGACCTTAACACAGGAAAAAAAACCAAGATTCTGTCACAAACAGGACGATACATTTTTGTACATACATGTATATGATGTAGTACCCTATATACATGATATATAGCTACATGTTTATCTTTAACACAAACTGTACGAATATGGCCTTTGTCAAGATTCTGACAAATGTGTCAATGCTATTATATTACATTAGATAAGAAAATATTGCAAAGATTTGAAAAATAAGCTTAATATTCAAAAAGTACTGCTAAGATTGCAATCTGCTTGAATTTCAAGATTATGTATTCGTTACAAAAATACGTCACTGTTCATGCTGTTTGTGATGTCCTGTGTCTGTCGTTAATGGAAGATGTTCGTTGTTATTCTGTGGTTTACATGTTGTAACAATCTTATATTATTTATTTGTGCGTTTCTCTGTGCTGAGTGTTCTTGCGTTTGTTTGTACTGTATTTCTGTCACGTAGTGTTGTCATTTTAGCGATATTTTTTAACATTGCCATATAAGCGGGAGGTTTGGCTAGCCATAAAACCAGGTTCAACCCACCATTTTTTCTTAAAATGTTCTGTACCAAGTCAGGAATCTGGCAGTTGTTATCAAATAGCTCGTTTCTATGTATGTTGGCATTTGTTTTAGTTGCACTTCAGTGTTTCTGTTGTTCTGTTGTTCTGTTGTTTTCCTCTTATAGTTGATGTGTTTCCCTCGGTTTTAGTTTGTATAACCCAGATTTTTTTTTTCTCAGTCGATATATGACTTTTGAACAGCAGTATACTACTGTTGCCTGTTTTTAGGACTGTTTCTTTAAAACATAAATAGTACCTAGGGAGGGCACTTTAGAAATGGGGTAACCACCGATAGAGGAAAATATAAATTTCAATTACATTTCCTCTATTCAAAAACATAGATGACACCCACCCATAGTTGAAATTTGGAAGTGCCTTCCCTGGGTTCCATCTATTTTTTTATGGAACAGCCCTTCAAAGTTTAATTTTACATGTGCTATTTATCTTTTTCAGATACATGAATTCACATATGACTATACATTTTGTGAAGACAAGAATAATGCACCAACCACATGTGCAGCAAAATTAGAGAGTATTGGAACAAACAATACAGGCTATGTCTGTAATTGTGAAGTGACCTTTGACCTTAGTGAAGACTTTGAGGTTAGTAGCAAGAAAATATAAATTATAATAGCTACTGAGAATACTACTAGTAGAAAACTCAGGTGACATTGGCTTTTACCATGTTTACAGCATTAAAAGTACAACGATTTAGTAAAATTTATGCTTGTCGATATAGCTACACTTCCAGAAATAAGTAACCATGTGGATTTCTGTTTGATCACAAGACCCATTCATGAAAACTGTATGAGGTCAATGTATTTGATAATGTTGGATGTAGGCAGAAATGCATTTAATTCAGAATTTTTACTAAATATTTTTTCTTTAACTTGCATTGAGAGGACATGTCTGGGCTGCCTACTTTATGAAGTCTGTTGGAAGAAAGCAAAATCCACCCTGTTTCCAGGGTACGTGTACTACAAAGGAGCCCCCGAAAAGATTGCGCTGCAAAAACAAGTTAAATGATCTCCACTAACATGACTAATGTGTAATTGTATGAATACAAGGAGATTTGGGTAATTTGTCAATTATACAGCTACCCAATGACGAAAGTAACTAAAAAACTATATTTATTGAGGGTTACTCTTGTAAATAAAAGGACATGTATGGTATATGTATATGTCTATAATGGTTTACTTTTACAAATTGTGACTTGGATGGAGAGTTGTCTCATTGGCACTCATACCACATCTTCTTATATCTATAGAGATAGCTACCCAACAACACAAAAAAACTAAAAAATCCTACATTTTATTGGCAGCGTCAATATTTTGGTTCAGTCTGTTGTTAAAATTTTTTTTAGACATCAATAACCTTGTCAAATCTTCCTGGAATGTTATGGAATTTGGAGCTTTTTTATGATTGTGTAATAATATCTGAATCCAAATTTTGAAAATATGTTTTTATTACTTTTTAAAGTATTTTAAAATTAAAGTAGGTAAGAAACATGGTTCTGTGGAACCCTTTACAAATATTTTATTAGCATGTTCATGTATTTTTTCTTTAAAGGGAGACGTATATTTATACTATGGACTGTCAAATTATTTCCAAAACCATCGTCGCTATGTAAGATCAAGGGATGATAACCAACTCCATGGAGAATCAGTATCATCATCTAGTCTGAACACAGACTGTAAGCCATACCTAAACAAGGACATTAACTCCAGCTACTCACTACCGATTGCTCCATGTGGTGCTATTGCAAATAGCTTGTTTAATGGTGAGTTACCCAGCAACATGGATATAGAATGGGCGAAGACTTTAAAAGTTTGATTCACTTGTGTCTCATCCCTTTTGCATATTTATTCAAATTTAATATGTTAAAACAGTTACAGAGCAGTTAGGGAGCTACCATTTGAATTTTATGGGGGGGGGGGGGGGGAGCTAGGATGAAAAATGTTGTCCTGCATTTTTATTTTAGTTGTAATCTCTGTCCTACCTCTTTATTTTTCACTCTATTCGGTCCTGCCTTTTTTTTTATTAGTTTATCCTGACTTTTTTTACATAAAATGTCATCCTACCTTTTCTTTGCCAAGTTGCTCATCCTGCCTTTTTTATTTACTCAAAACTCCTGTCCTGCCTTTTTTTCAAATTTCATCCTAGCCCCCCATCCCTAAAAATCAAATGGTAGCTCCCTTACTGAATACACATTATCTTTTTGAAATAGTTCTCCCTATTGGAGATTTTGAGAGATTAGAAAATCTAAATTGCTTAATTTTTAAATTTCATCAGTAATGTTTAATGTAAAAATTGTTAGTTATTCAGGCTTATATGTCATGAATGTGGATTTTTATAAATTTTAGATTTTACTTTTCCGAGTTATGTGGTTTTATTCATTAAAAAAGGGGGATTTTCCAGTTTTCGGACAATAACTCAAAAATGCTTTGAGCAGTTTTCATGAAACTTTGGTGAATTGTTTATATCTATTGACTTAAGCTCCCTTTCGATTTTTGTAAATTTTCGATTTTACGTTTCCGAGTTATGGGATTTTATTCATAAAAAAGGGGGGATTTTCCAGTTTTTGGACAAATAAATCAAAAGAGCTTTGAGCAGTTTTCATGAAACTTTGGTGACTGGTTTATTTCTATTAGAATAAGCTCCTTTTAGTTTTTATTTAAATTTCTGATATGACATTGAGGAGTTATGAAACTATTCGTTGAAAAAACGACGGGCGTATCATGCACAGCTCTTTATTTTTACCTGCCATGGTGGGAGTAGGACAAATGGTGGACAAAACTTTTAAGTGGTCCCCTGTGCCTACTCTATGTACATTGCAGTAGACATGCAATATTTTTTTCTTTCATTATATAAATCTTCCACATACATGTACAATACTTTGAAAAATTTTCTCACTTGTTCCAGTTACATTTGTTCTTTTGAAAAATCAGACAACAGTTTACATGTTCTAGGAATATTTTATTACTTCTAATGCCTCATATTTATTTTGTTTTTAACAGATACTTTTGCTCTCAAATCTAGTGGTACAGAAGTTACACTACTGAAAACTGGAATTGCGTGGGTTTCAGACAAGAAAGAGAAATTTAACAACCCATCAAGTAAGTCAGTATTTTGATAGCACAATTCTTTATTCAGTTTCAATTCAGTTAACACCGAAATAGATTAAATAAATTGTTTTGTTCAAATGAAAAATCTGTTCTCACCAAGCATGCAAGTTATTGATGTACAATGTATTTGATTGACTGATGGTGATAAACACAGCTTTCACAACTATTGGTTATATTATGGCAGACAGTTTGTATTGTGGAGGAAGCTGGAGTGCCTAGAGGGAACCACTGACCTTCGGTAGGTACTGGTAATCCTAGTCAATTAAAATTTGTCCAACGCACCAGCCTCTTGAACTAAAATACACAATAAAAAACATGCATGTGCAGCTGCTTACAAAATAATAAATATATTTAGCAAGGAAATAAAAAATGGCACACAATTTAAAAATAGCAAAGTCAGAATATGAAAACTAGACCTAGCAGGGTATGTACAAAAAGCTTTCTGGGAGCAGTTGGTCGGGTTCACTTTATATGCCCCCGTAGTAGTGAAGGGGGCATTTAGTGTTACCCTTGTCCATCTGTCCATACGTCCCAAAATTGGTTTCCATTCTCTAACTTTAGTTTGCCTCAACCAATTGTTATGAAACTGATGCACAATGCTTATTACCACAAAATACAGATCGGGTTTGAATTTAAGTGGCTTCACTTTTACAGTTCTAGAGTTATGCCCCTTTACAAATGGAAAAATTACTGAATTTATCGTTTCCTTTCTCTAACTTAAGTTTGCCTCAACCAAATGTTACGAAACTTATACACAATGGTTATTACCACAAAACTCAGATCAAGTTTGAATTTGGGTGGCGTCACTTTTAACGTTCTTGAATTTGTCCCTTAATAACGTTAAGGATACATTCTCCATTTATTACTTATTTCTTCAGGTTTTAGTGGATTCACCAACCCACCAAACTGGAATAACAAAATGGTAGACCAGCTTGACCCATCTGATTCATCAAACAATGGTTATGAGAATGAAGACTTGATTGTTTGGATGAGAACAGCTGCTTTACCTAACTTCAGGAAGTTACATAGACGTGTATATCACAATGGTACATTTACAAATGGTCTACCAAAAGGGACATATACCATGGAGATTGATTATGGTAAGTAAACACCTCATATATATAAAATTTGACACCTTTTAAAATCACTATTTTAGATTCTGAAGCACTTTGGGCAATTTAATCGTACATATCTCAAAATGAAAATAATGCCATGTTATTGGTTGAATTTTCTTGTTTAGGACATACAATCACTTGGTTTTGGTGTACATTTTGAAAAATATTACCTAGCATGCACTTTATTCTGAATGGTAAATGGATTATTTGACATCACATGACATCATATTGTTAAATATTGTGTTAGACAAGCTTTAACTAAAAAAGGTCAACAGATTCTGACTTGCACAAGATAAGAAGACCAACAAAAATTTTTGTAAACAACTTTGATATTAGTATCGGGGCCTAATCTAGGATTTTGAAGAGGGAGAAGTGACTTCTCCTTCCATGAGAGAGAAGGGAGAAGTGGTCAGTTTTGGTTGCATCGTGTTTTCAAGCTCATCACTAAGGAAATTGTTTTAAATTCAATACATGTACTTGCAGTTTTTTATACGACCGCAAAAATTTTTGCGGTCGTATATTGGTATGACGCTGGCGTCGTCGTCGGCGTCGTCCGAAGACACATTGGTTTTCGCACTCTAACTTTAGTTTAAGTGAATGGATCTCTATGAAATTTTACCATAAGGTTCAATACCACAAAAGGAAGGTTGGGATTGATTTTGGGGGTTATGGTACCAACAGTTAAGGAATTAGGGGCCAAAAATAAGCATTTTTGTAACTTCCAGACATAACTTGTGTGTTAGTGTATGGATCTCTCTGACATTGTACCAAAATGTTCCATATCACAAAGGGAATGCTTGGATTGATTTTGGGGGTAATTGCCTCAAAATATTAGGAATTAGGGGCCAAAAAAGGGGCAAAAAACAAGCATTTTTCTAGTTTCATGACAATAACTTGTGTGTAAGTGTATGGATCTTTCTGAAATTGTACTACAAGGTTCCATATCACAAAGGGAAAGCTGGAATTGAGTTTGGGGGTAATTGCCCAAAATGTTGAGGAATAAGGGGCCAAAAAGGGGCAAAAAATAAGCATTTTTTCTAGTTTCCAGACAATAACTTGTGTTCAAGTGTATGAATCTCTCTGAAATTGTACCACAAGGTTCCATATCACACAGGGAATGCTGGGATTGAGTTTGGGGGTAATGGCCTCGAAATTTTAGGAATTAGGGGCCAAAAAAGGGGCAAAAAACAAGCATTTTTCTAGTTTCATGACAATAAGTTGTGTGTTAGTGTTTGGATATTTCTGAAATTGTACTACAAGGTTCCATATCACAAAGGGAAAACTGGAATTGAGTTTGGGGGTAATTGATCTAAACGTTTAGGAATTGGGGGCCAAAAAGGGGCCAAAAAACACATTTTTCTAGTTTCCAGACAATAACTTGTGTTCAAGTGTATGGATCTCTCTGAAATTGTACTGCAAGGTACCATACCACAAAGGGAAGGCTGGGATTGAGTTTGGGGTTGATGAATCATAAGGGGGTTCAAAAAATTGGGGGGGGGGGATTTTTTTTTTTTTTCCTTTTTTTTTCTTTTAAAATTTTCCATTTTAAGTTGGTTATTTCTGATTTATATTTAAAAGCAAATAATAATGATATGGTAGGAGATACACACCAAACAGGATGTGTAAATTATTATATAAGTATTGTGCAATAGCAAGAAATTTTCAATTGCACAGTATTGCACAATAGCAAGAAATCTTCAATTGCACAGTATTGCGCAATAGCAAGAAATCTTCAATTGCACAGTATTGCGCAATAGCAAGAATCCAATAGCACAATATTGAGCAATAGCAAGAAATTGTCAATTGTGCAGTATTGCGCAATAGCAAGAAATATTCAATTGCACAGTATTGTGCAAAAGAAGATACTTCGTATAAATTGCTTATTTCTTGACCAATTTCAATGGGGTTTTATTCTTGAATTCTTGGGGTTCTTTAATATGCTGAATCTAACCGTGTATTAAGTTTTTGGATTTTCGGGCCCCGTTTTTAAATTGGTCCACATTGAGGTCCAAAGGGTCCAAAATTAAACTTTGTTTGATTTCATCAAAAATTGAATTATTGGGGTTCTTTGATATGCCGAATCTAACCGTGTATTTAGATTCTTAATTTTTGGTTCCGTTTTCAAATTGGTCTACATTAAGGTCCAAAGGGTCCAAAATTAAACTAAGTTTGATTTTAACAAAAATTGAATTCTTAGGGTTCTTTGATATGCTGAATCTAAACATGTATTAAGATTTTTGATTATGGGCCCAGTTTTCAAGTTGGTCCAAATCGGGGTCCAAAATTAAACTTTGTTTGATTTCAACAAAAATTGAATATATGGGGTTCTTTCATATGCTGAATCTAACCATGTATTTAGATTTTTGATTTTTGGGCCCGTTATCAACTTTGTCCACATTGAGGTCAAAGGGGTCCAAAATTAAACTTTGTTTGATGTCATCAAAAATTGAATTCTTGGGGTTCTTTGATATGCTGAATCTAACCATGTATTTAGATTTTGGATATTGGACCATAATAGGTGAATGTCCAATTTAAAATTTTTAAGTTCTTAGACCACATTCATTCTGTGTCAGAAACCTATGCTGTGTCAAATATTTAATCACAATCCAAATTCAGAGCTGTATCAAGCTTGAATGTTGTGTCCATACTTGCCCCAACTGTTCAGGGTTCGACCTCTGCGGTCGTATCAAGCTGCGCCCTGCGGAGCATTTTATTCATGTTATTGTACACAATGTATATATAGAAAGTTCTTAATAAAAAGGTTTAGACAATATATAGTTGTTATTTATTTATTGATACCGTAATGTGTTCTATATAAATTTGTTGATTGGGACATGAGGGAGTAGCCTAGTAATATTATCAAGATTATGATGCATTTAATTCATGTGCATCTGCCTCAATTTATTTTTAAAACTCCAGAAAAATATGATGAATTTCACACGACTGGGAATTTAATTTATATCACCACTTGTCATTGTTTTGTAAAACATTTTTGAATGTCCAGGACATTTATGTTAGTTGTAGTAAATTGAGATTATCGTTAAAGATTGTAAGTCTATAAATGAAAATATCTTTCAATCTCAAGTTAATTATCCAATAAAGAGCTAATTTCTATCATTTTTTAAAAATATCATCCATATCAACGAATTGGTCATGAAAAAAAATCCACTGCTGATCACTAAATTATCTGGTCGAGTGTCGTACGTTTGCAATCACATTATCCATCAGCTGTCTTTCTACCTTTTATATTTCAATTTTTGTTCAATGAATATAATAAATCTACCCTTAATTCCCACCTTTTACCTACCGAATAGTAAAATTAATCGACTCGTGTAGGTAATAAAAATAAAACAAATCAGCTGAGTGATTACGCAACATCCTCAGATGAAAATCATCGTAAAACGATAACTTAAACAGACGGTCAGTTTTCCGTTTGAACAGTTTTGAAAGTTATATCCGAGGATGTTCAAATTCGCCGTTGTATTTATTTAATTTGATTGTTTACAGTATTAGTCCTGGTTTGTTTCGAAAATCTCGATTTTCCTTGTCAGCCGCCATTTTTTTTACCTGTGAGACTTGTCAATCACAAGTTGTCTCCCTTTTACCGATTTTGATAGCGATTTGACTTCGCTATGAAGTCAGTCGGCCGGCGAGATTTAGCGATTTTCAAAATTCTTTGGCGACTTAAATCGTCATTTCGCCGGCAAGATTATGGCCTGAGTATAAAAGATTTTTAAGTGTTACTATTTTTACAGCGTGAAAACAATATTTTAAAACTGTCCTTCCTGTCTAAAGTGAAGAAAAAAAAGCACTACATAATTGGTGTGCATGTAAAGCTCTTTTCTGGAACTCTCAAACACGAAACTTTTAAAGCCAAATATATATAAATACCTGACTAAGTAAAGAGCTATATGAGCTATATGGCGAGAAGCTTAAGGGTCCTAAAAGAATAGTCAAATTCATGGAAGGTCAACTTTGCCTGAGGGAGTAACCCAAGTTGGAACTGTAAATGTGTATGTTAATTTTCTATTTTTAGCCTACCCAGTGACATCATTCGATGGTAAGAAGCTGTTTATCTTGTCAACGACATCATGGTTAGGAGGGAAGAATCCGTTCCTTGGAATAGCCTACATGGTAGTTGGAAGTATCTGTATACTCCTTGGTGTCGTATTCCTAGTCATACACATCAAATATGGCAAAAAGTGAGTTAATTATGTTTCTGCTATTTTGAAAAAAGAAAAAATTCATGCCATACAAATACTACATGCATATGACATGCACCTGACACAAAATATGCACTTGCCAAAAAAAATGCTACATGCATATGACATCATGGCTTCCAAAACGGTCATATATTCCGGACATTTATAAATTTACCGGACATTGTCCGTCTGGGAAAAGCATAAAACGGACATCTACTTTCAGTTTTCAAGGCTTTCTTAAGAGACGGTCAATACATTTTAACATAATTTAAAAAGTTTATGTGATCTTTTTGACTCGACCTTTTGCCTTTAAACAGCCACACATTTCCGGTCATAAAAGTGACATGATGAATAAGTACTATCAAAAGAAACCCAACTTTAATACCTTCTCATTTTAATCAAGGTTAATTAGTTGTCAGACAGCTGAAATTTACCTGTTCAGGCGACAGGTTAACTATTTTGTACCAGACATTGATCGGTCTATTCAAAGTTATTTTCTTACATTTCAGCTGTCTGCATCTAATTAATTTAGTCAAAAAGATTGAAATGATCAGAAATACGTTTATAAATATGATTTGAGGAAAAAGTTAAAAAGGTTTTAAACGAAAAATCGTCAGAACCACATTGTTTGAACTAGTACACACATGCGCATGTGTGTATGTGGGAAATTTAATTATGCATCCTAATTCTTCAAAAATGTTAAAATTATCATTGATACCTTTATCTAACGTTCATTTCAAGTATTTTCTTGAAGAAATAACGTGGAAAGAGCTACTTTAACTCAATCATGCTTTGTAAACGTACACGGATTTTACGTATCTGTCTCTGGTCCATGTTTTACCATTGTCAAGTCAACATCCGGTATTAGGAAAATGTGATTTTTAAAAACAAAAGTAAAGTTTTTGACAATGTTATTTTGCACAAATAAAGAGTCTAAGGCAGATATTAGTACACTGATGTTGCACACTTCGAATGATGCACTGTCAATTTAACAGTTTACATCAGAACATCGAATTTATATCAAAGTAAAATTTAATATCGTTTTTTTAATGTCAATCATTGGTTATATGATGTCCAACTGATTACTATAATTGCCTTTTGTTACTAAGTCTTAAAGGATTAAAATCGGGATCAGACATAAAATGTCCGGCTGGCTCAAATATTTTTTGGAAGCCCTGTATGACATATATTGCACTTGACACAAATGACTACATGCACTTGACTCAAAATCACATTATGAACTTGACACAAAATCACTTCATGTTCGTGACACAAAATCACTACATGCACTTGACACAAAATCTTGACTCGAAATCACTACATGCACTTGACACAAAATCACTTCAGGCACTTGACACATGTTTGAAAAATACCAAAAGAAAAGAAACTTCATCATAAAATTACAGTGAGGCCTTCAGCTATTTAGCATGAAAAAAAAACCTCCCACCTCACTGGAAGTTCAAGACAACATCTAGCACGGGATTTAGCAGAATTCTTTGCTAGGAGGACTTTTATGTTAAGTTTTTGAGTCATCAGCCCATTTACATATCAATAACCTTCAGAAAGAAATTTGTTTAATCTGTATTATTCTCAACCCAGACAATTGTTATTTAAATGCCCTAGCCTCTAGGCTGTAACTTTCAAAATATGTAAAAGAAAAAAAATCTGAAGGACCTGGGATTACTGTAGAACCCTTGTTGAATATTTTATTTATAGATAAAAAAAATCACTTTTACCATTCTTCAGTTATTTCCCTTTATACAAAATGTAAAGTTGCATCATCTGTGTCAATGGACAAACAATCCATTTACTTAAGTCATTTTTCTCTATTTATAAATTTTGCCTATTTTTCTCTATTCTTTATATTTTAGCCCACCATTACTCTCTATTCTTTATATTTAAGCACACCATTTTTCTCTATTCTTTATATTTTAGCACACCATTACTCTCTATTCGTTATATTTTAGCACACCATTTTTCTCTATTCTTTATATTTTAGCACACCATTACTCTCTATTCGTTATATTTTAGCACACCATTTTTCTCTATTCTTTATATTTTAGCACACCATTACTCTCTATTCTTTATATTTTAGCACACCATTTTTCTCTATTCTTTATATTTAAGCACACCATAACTCTCTATTCTTTATATTTTAGCACACCATTTTTCTCTATTCTTTATATTTTAGCACACCATTACTCTCTATTCTTTATATTTTAGCACACCATTACTCTCTATTCGTTATATTTTAGCACACCATTACTCTCTATTCTTTATATTTTAGCACACCATTACTCTCTATTCTTTATATTTTTGTCCCATTTTTTCTGTAGTATTGGCCCATTATTCTCTATATTGTAAACCCCACCAAGACCCTCATATAAGAATAAATGTAAGATGTTATGACATATATTTTATTTTTCAGACCAACTGATATGATCAATGTGAGCAGTAGAACACCATTTTAAAAGAAACCAATTTTCATACAAGACAATCAAGTTGAGCGGGCCTCAAGCTGTGTGTTATAGAAGACATTTATTATGGGATTGGGATATACAATCTGGTGGCAGTTATTAAATTAATGAAAGTTGATTAAAAATGGGGGAAAATCATTTAATCATGTTTGTACATTATCATTTTGAATGGATCTGAAATCCAAGTTGCAATTTCTGTAAAAATATTGAATTTAGCTTTTTACAACATTTTTATGCTTTATATGAACGTGACCAGTGAAATAAACTTTGTTCCAACGAAGGGCTGTTCTATTTAAATTAATTTTGGGGGTAAAGAATTTAAATAACAGTTCCCTAGGTGAAATTAAACATGTTTCTATTGACTGTATAGTGACTGTTGCCATGGAGACCAGTTTCAATTAGTGCAATGAAAATCAAATTTCAGACAACTACTGTCAATAGAAACTTGACCAATCTGATTTAAGCTTTTGTTATGTCGACCTGTTGACTGTTATGTCGACCTGTTGACAGATGATGACTATCAATAGTATTTTTCAACAGAGTGTATAAAATGTTGATATGTAGTGTTCATGTCATTTTTATATGCATGCTGTTAGTAACTGTATTTACTTTTGCATACATGTACTGTAAAGATGAAAATACTCATATCCATGAGTGTTCACAAACTTAAAGAACTGTTGTTGTGGTAGCATGTGTATAAAGTTAAGCTTTGATGTGATTTTAATTAATGATATTCTTTAAATTTCTAAAAATTTTAAGAAAATGCTTGTTCAGTTTAAAGATGTTTTGTTGATTGTTATATCAAATGTACAGTCGATCCTCGTTGTGTCGAACTCGGTTGTGTCGAAAACTTGGATAAGTCGAACTCAGCGAACTGATTCAAATTCTCGGTTAAGTCAAGGTAATTCCAAAGTCCTGTCGCTGTAAAATTGATGTAAATTGATCCAGATGTCTCGAAGTTCAAAAGTAAGAAATTTCGATAAAAAATTCAAAAGGGATGTTTAACCTGATAATTTTCATAAGTGATTAAATCTGTGAACACATGCTTATTTTTTATAACAGTTAAAATGATATGTTTATGGTGACCTGTAATTAACACCTTTGTTTATCTCACACTCGACCACAGATGAGTCGAATACCTTCGTCCGGTCCCTTCGACTTCGACACAACGAGGTTCAACTGTATGTACAGAAATAATCTGATGTACACAATTATGTATATGTATGTTTTTATGTTCAAATGACTCATGTTTCAACAAACACACCCTACAAATATTTTTTGGCTAACACAAATTTTAAAAGATTTCTGTAGAAGTCTTTTAGACTGTCAGAACTTTTTGCTAAATGTTGTAGTTGAAAACAACATATTTATTTAGTCATAATACAGGGATAAGTAGGATTCATTTTATACAATACTTTTATGTTTTTAATCTGAGCTTTAGATATTTTTTATGTTGTATATCTATATGCACTAAGATTTACTCTTAACTTTGGATTTTTAATTACCTTGTGTTTGAAAATATCATGGAATGTGAATTGTCTGCTTAGGGAACAACCTTTTAACTTCAAGGGGGAGGGGGGGGAAGGGGGGTTATGGTTTTTCCTAAAAAAAAATATTCTGATCCCCAATTTGAAGAAGAAAAAAAATATTGTGGTCAAGCAGATGACAAAAAAAAAATATTCTGAATCCAGATTTTCCCCATACCTTATAGTGTTAAATTTTGAAAAAAAATAATTTGATTGATAGTGTAGAAAAACTTTAAAAAAAATCTGACTCAGTCAAAAAACCACAACCCCCCCCCCCCCTTTTTGAAGTTAAATGGTTGCTCCCTGAAAGATTAACATATTTAGAACTGTAAATTCAGAAATTATTGAGTGCATTTATTATTGCAATTTTGTCATTTTAGACCAAAATGCTATTATAATTTTTGCTTTACTGAGAAAAAAATCCCGCTTCATTCATATAAAAAAAAATCCATAATGCAGGTTTATATCGTTGGGATTACAACCCTGTCGCATTTTTCACAATGATAAAATAAATCGCAATAATTTCCAAATTTACACTAGATTGTTCTTTTTGCTGCTGATGCTCATATTTAAATTTAATAAGTTACTGTTGTGCCTAATTTGATAACAGATGTTCCTTGAGCTTTTGGATAGTTTTTCGAAGACCTTCTGCTAATAGTTAATGACAGTATACAGTTTGTTAGTGCATGAGAACAAGTGTCATCTGTACTGGGTTAAAGAATTTTCCATGGTATTTTTAAATGCTGTGTATTAGATAATATTACAATGACCATTAAAATGAGTTAAGGATGTTTGCTCCTCTAGTTTTTTAATTTTTGCCAGATTTTCGGAAATCCTCTGGTTTCATCCATGTACAAATGTATTTCCTTTAAAAAAATTGGCCCGCTAACCCTACTTTTATTTTCATAATTTTATTATGTATAGTTTAAAAAGCCATATATTTGAAAATCGTTATTTTTGCATAGTTTTTGCACTTTAAAGCGGTCAATGTTAAAATCAAGAAAAATGTAGAGAGAATTATTTTCCGCCAAATTTTCAATGGCTTATATCTCGAAAACAAGCAAACGGATCATTCATTTTTTTTCTGCTTTTTTAGTTCTTTATTTATATTCTATCATTTTAGAACAGTCTTTTAAAAAGCTTGTTATTTTGAAACAGAGTAGCGAACATCCTTAAATCTGATGAATACATTTAAGCTAAAACCAGAAGTAAAAGTCTTTATTGTGAAAAAAACCGAAACAAATACAATACAACAATAATTTTTCAAATTTTCAAACACTAACAGCTACTTTTAATAAAATGATATTGAAAAAGGAGATTCTTTTTTCAAAACTTAAGAAATTTGAGCCTTGACCCATCCCAACTCTTTCAGAGAAATATGAAGTTGTTACCCCCTATTTTAGGAGACTTGTCTTAATTATAAAGGTGGTCCAAAATGTCTTCAGAATGCTCATCTGTAGACCACAACAAATTGTAATGTATATTAGTCTGTGAGTACTTAGCAAACAATGTAATTTTAGTCGAATTATATATTTTTCAAATTGTATGGTTTAAATATTTTATTTGTTGTGCATAATTTGTGAATTTAAGTGGTCAGTTGATTTTTTTCAGCATGTACTAGACCTATATTAACATTCCAAGAATCTCTGTTGTTATTTGAACCTTGCTTCAATTGCAATTTTCAATATTTTATCATTGAGTTTTGACATAAGTTTCAGGAATGAGTATTACCATGCAAAACTAATTGCTTAAATATCATTGCTTATGTACATAACTTGTCCAGTTTTTTTTTTTAAATAATTCTTCCTATTTTTGTGTTAAAATCTAAAAAGAAGATATTTTTAGAGGGAGAAAGATGCCTCAAGTTTTTTCATTTGAAATGTACGGAAAGAATTTATGTTCAATTATTTAACAAATTTTTAGAAATTAAATTTTTTTAAAAATATTTTGACTGAAAGTGTATTTGAAATGCAAGTTTTTAGAAAACTATTGAGAAAAATAGAGGTTATTGAGCAAAATTTTGTAACACAAATGTTAAGGAAAACACCTGAGGGATATAGGTGTAATACCATCAAATCATAGTACGTCACATTTGGTTGCATACGAAAAAGGGTTGAAAAAAAATATTCCCTCCCTTGAATTTGATAGGAAATTAATCCTACATTTCATTGCAGTAAAAAATTTATGAGTCATAAACATATATCTTGGGTGTTTCAAAGCACCATTATTTTTTTATTTGGTGTTTCTATAGAATATTTTGGAAACTTGAGGTAACATGGTTACTAAAGCTTGTACACAGGAAAAAAAGGGGTGAAAATTTGATTGGTTAACTTCCAGTGATGGTTATTTTCTTATTTGCAATGAAATGTTATGTGAAATTTTGTCTGTAGTACTGAATAGGATAAAACTTTACTGATGCCAAGTATTTCTTTTTTTGAAACAAAGATAAATTCTGCAATATTTTTTTGAAATGTGTAATTTTAACAAAATATAATTGGGGAAAATCAATGATGGTATTATTCCTATAGAAAGGTTGAAAAGAAGAGAGTTAAATATCCTTGTATGTCCAGCCAGATTTTGTGAAAGAATTTGCGTTCAACTGTAGAAAGATGTATAAGAAATTACAAGAAAAGTGTATTTGTAGAAAAAATATTGAATTAGAATTTATAATACATAGCCTAGGAATCACCAGAGGGACAAAGCAAGTTGAAAGTAAAAAATCCTTATACAGTCGACTCCACTTAATTGCATACCGCTTAATAGCATAATTCGGTTAATTGCATTATTTTCTCCTGCACAAAACCATTTTCCATTCATCTGATGATAAATTGTCAGGTTATATGCATAGCTCTACAAGTGGTCTTTCGGTTAATTGCATACAAAATAATCGCCAGCTAGATATGCTTAGTTAAAACTGACGAGATTTTTTACCGGAAACAGCAATTTGGTGAGTATATTTTTCTTGAATGCATCATTATTTTCTTTTTTATTTCACATTTACTTTTGTGTTATTATAATAATAATATTTTTGACTCATTAATTTGGCCTTTTGGATAAATGCATACTCCCCTTAATTGCATACTTTTGTCTGACAAATAGGCTATGCAAATAACCGGAATCGACTGTATATATATTCAGCTAGATTTGAATTACAGAAATTTTCCATGAATAAAAGTCACATGATAAATGTTTGCTATAATGACTTGTAATATAGGTTAAAACTTTTACATTTTTAAGATGAAGACTATGACATAAATTATTCAGTTAATAATTTTGTTAATATAAACCACTAAACTATTTTATTTTGTTTATTGATTATTTCAGATATTTATAAGAGGGTCTGGATGGGGTTTACAGAATTGTAAAATGAGAATACTGGACCAAAAAAAAAAGAATAGAGAAAATTGGCTTTAAATTTAAAGAATAGAGAATAATGGACAAAATATGAAATAGATATAGATAGAAAAATAGCCCACAAAAGTAAAGAATATAGAAATGTAGGACCCCATCTAGACCCTCACATGAAGCTCACATTTAATTTATTTCTGTTATGATTGTTGATAATTTTCAATTTTAAATAAAATAAAAAAAATTCTTACACGTTTGTTTTCATCATATATTAATCCTTATGTTAACAACCAATTGATTCTACTGTGTAACAAAGATTATATAGACCTAAGCAGCAATAAAACATAAAAAAAGTGGACTTATATTGAAATAGTTGAAAAGACAGCTCTAAGTCTACAAAAGCTACAGGACTTCATGAAACTAATTCAATCAGAAATTTGTCGGATCCAGGGGAAGTGGCCATACCCTTTGATTGCCAAAAAAAAAGAAAAAAAAGAATGACATGTTTTTCACGATTTGTATGATTTTTGTCTCGCCTTGACAGAGTAAAAAAACGAGGACAAAGGTATGCTGTTTCCTGCATCAGCAGTGGTGACGGTGTCAAGAATGTATTAGGGTTTGTGATTAGGTCAGTTTATGGGGAACCACTAGTGGTTGGTCAATGATATTTGGTATGCAGTTGTACAGTATTAACATTGGCACATCTCATTTCCACAGTTGTTATTTGGTCCCGCCCCCTCAGTCAAGGTCTATTGACTCAAACTTTTAGTTAGTTTACATGTACTTGTTTGTGATTAGATCAGTTTATGGGGAACCACTATTGGTTGGTGAATGAAATTTGGTATGCAGTTGTACAGTATTAACATTGGCACATCTCATTTCCACAGTTGTTATTTGGTCCCGCCCCCTCAGTCATGGTCTATTGACTCAAACTTTTAGTTAGTTTACATGTACTTGTTTGTGATTAGATCAGTTTGTGGGGAACCACTATTGGTTGGTGAATGATATTTGGTATGCAGTTGTACAGTATTAACATTGGCACATCTCATTTCCACAGTTGTTATTTGGTCCCGCCCCCTCAGTCATGGTCTATTGACTCAAACGTTTAGTTAGTTTACATGTACTTGTTTGTGATTAGATCAGTTCGTGGGGAACCACTAGTGGTTGATCAATGATATTTGGTATGCAGTTGAATTCACATTGGCACATCTCATTTCCACAGTTGGTATTAAGCCCCGCCCCCTCAGTCATGGTCTGACTCTAAAATGTTTAGTTAGTTTACATGTATTTGTTTGTGATTAGATCAGTTTATGGGGAATTATTAGTGGCAGGTCAATGATATTTGCTATGCAGTTGTATTAACATTTGCACATCTCGTTTCCATGGAGATTGTTTGGCCCCGCCCCTATGTCTTGTTTTTTTTTTACTTTGAAACGTTTGGTTATTAGTCCCATACCGACGAAGTCGAAGGGGACTTTAGGTTTGCACTCCGTCCGTCTGTCTGTCTGTCTGTCCGTCCGGCAAATCAGTTTTCCACACTTTTTTCTTCATGCTTGAAGATATTGATTTGATATTTGGTATATTGTTTTATCATAACAAGTTACAGATCAAGTTCGAATTTTGTTTCGGTCTGATAATTTTGTGCAGAGTTATAGTCCTTAGACTTTAAAAATTCCCTCAAATATTCAGTTTTCAGCGTTTTTTTCGTCATTCTTGAAGATATTGATTAATAATTGGTACATTGTTAGTTCCCTACCGACGAAGTCGAAGGGGACTTTAGATTTGCACTCTGTCTGTCCGTCCGTCTGTCCATCTGTCAGTCCGGCAACTCAGCTTTCCACACTTTTTTTCTTCGTTCTTGAAGATATTGATTCGATATTTGATATATAGTTTTATAATGACAAGTTATAGATCAGGTTCGAATTTTGTTCCGGTCTGATGATTTAGTCCAGAGTTATGGTCCATAAAAAAAATCCATAACTAATGTTAGAGTACTATGTTAAACCATATATCTGTACAAAGGGAGATAACTCATTTTTTAAAAGACATTCTTTGGTAAATTGTTTGAGGAATTTTGTGGCTATATGTTATTTTGTATAAACTAATTTTCTGAATGCTACATGTATATATATATATATTTTTTATTAAGTGAAATCCTTTAATTAGATAATAATCTATTTTTGTCGAGCCTTCGACTTTTGTCGAAAAAGCGAGACATAGCGATCCTACATTCCGTCGTCGTCGTTGTCGTCGGCGGCGTCCACAAATATTCACTCTGTGGTTAAAGTTTTTCAAATTTAAATAACTTTCTTAAACTATCCTGGATTTCTACCAAACTTAGAAAGAAGCTTGTTTATGATCATAAGATAGTATCCAGAAGTAAATTTTGTAAAAAAAAAATGCATTTTTTCCGTATTTTACTTATAAATGAACTTAGTTTTTCTGCCAGGAAACATTACATTCACTCTGTGGTTAAAGTTTTTAAAATTTTAACAACTTTCTTAAACTATCCTGGATTTGTACCAAACTTGGACAGAAGCTTGTTTGTGATTAAAAGCTAGTATCTAGATGGAAATTTTGTTAAAATTTTGTTCCATTTTTTCCATATTTTACTTATATATGGACTTAGTTTTTCTTCCAGTTAACATTACATGCAGTCTGCAGTTTAAGTTTTTAAAACATTTATTAGATTCATAAACTATCCTGGATTTTTACAAAACTTGGACAGAAGATACTTACAATCAAAAGATAATATAGAGGCGAATATCTCTATTAATTTTTTCCTCATTTTTGTTGAGCCTGCGATTAACAGCAAAAGTAGGCGAGACACTGGGTTCCGCGGAACCCTTACGATTTTTTATTAAAGTATATATTTCATTACATTACATTGTGTAGATAAAAGTTGTTGACATTTTATAGATAAGTTACAAATCTATATTAGTTTGTGACAAATGAAAGAAAAAATATTTTGAACTATTAATTATATTTGATTGTAATTCGAAAATAGATATACATTGTATTACATCATATCTAATGTTAGAAGAGTGTTATAGGTTTTCCACACATTTTTTCATCATGCTTGAAGATATTGATTGACAATTGGTATATAGTTTTATCATGACAAGTTACAGAACAAGTTCAAATTTTTGTTTCAGTCTGATAATTTTGTGCAGAGTTATGGTCCTTGGACTTGAAAAAATTCTCTCATATATTCAGTTTTCCACACTGTTTTTAGTCATGCTTCAAGATATTGACTTGATATTTTCTATTTGTTTACACCATGACAAGTTATAGAACAAGTTAGCATTTTGTTCCAGTATAATGAATTTTTAACCGGTAGGGGACTATGTATTGCCATGCAATACTCTCAGAATGCTTGTTTTACCTGAATTATTTAACGGGGAACATCTAGTGACAGGTCAATGATATTTGCAGTTGTACTAGCATTGACGCATCTCATTTCCATGGAGATTTTTTGGCCCTGTACCTTCAGTCATGGTTCATTGACTTTGAAAATTTTGCATAACTTACATGTTGCTATTTTAATTTCAACATTTGCATTTTACTGTGAAAAACAAAAAGGTTAGACATATCTCTGTATTAACAAATGTTTGGCGTTATATGTCCATTTTATGGAATAACGCCCCCCTTTCAAAAACCCTGGTTCCTACCCTGATTTCTGTGACACCCTTCTTGTGGACTTTATCATATCGAGTTGATATGGAATTTCTTTTTTCATATGGATTAAGGAAGATATGGTTTCAACGTCAACGACACAGTAACTCAATGACATAACCGGACAGATAATGAGTAACTTACAGTCTTTGACAATAGAAAACCGGACAGAAAAAGGATAACTTACAGTCTTTGACAATAGAAAACCGGACAGATAATGGATAACTTACAGACTTTGACAATAGAAAACCGGACAGATAATGGATAACTTACAGTCTATGACAATAGAAAAATATATCTATACAATATGTTTAGCTCTCCTCATCCCAGATTTATAAAAGTTGTGGAAAATGCGATAGAAACAGTCAAAGATTTTTATTTTTTTTATGGTTAAATGCGTCAGGAATAAGATCTTCTAAAAGATCAATTAAAAAAGAAAAGAGCTTTAGTTTCATTTTACACTTCGCTATCGGCGGCGTCAACATTAAGGTTCAGCCTGTGGTTAAAGTTTTTTGAACATCAATAACTTTGACCATCATTCATGGAATTGCATTAAGCGTAGACATACCGGGAAACCTTTTGTAATTAAAGGAAAGTATCTAGAGAAAAAGTCTTAATATATATATATATATATAGTCTATCCTAAATTGAGGTAAATTATATGGCCTTCCAAATACCGTTTCCATCCCTAAAATCACTGAAGAGACATTTATTGTCGAAATCCGGATATGGTATACAAATTTTTGCATCTCATGTTAGTGGTATACCATCTTTTCCACAAGTTTATTGTTTTCTGTTTGGTATTAAATTAATATTAAGATCCATTTTGTTAGATCTGGTGATCAATTTATTTGGCAATCGCCAATGGCAGTCAGCAGAGTTTAAGAACATCAGTTGTTCGACCTGTTAGTCAAATGCGTTTTGTTGAAATAGACTTTTTCACTTTTTTTTGTCTTTTGGAATTGTTGTTTGTGCTGTATTTAGACCCTTCTACCAAGAAATTTGTTTTACATGCACACGTATAAAAATTGCGGTTTTTATCCAACGCAATCATTGGTTTGAACGTTGTTTTCAATTTAGACTTATTATATATAATTATCCTTTTTCATTTTTTTTTTGCGTATTTTCTAATAAATGGACTTTTTACAATTAACATTTAGATACAGTCGGAGGTTAAGTCTTTTAGACATCAATAACTCTGTCACACTTTCATCAAATGTTTTGAAACTTGGACAGAAGCTTTTTCAATAGCAGCTGAAGAAAACAAGAGTGATTCTACTATACCATTAATTGTAGTTACTAATTGAGAGAAAGACTTATGTTTGATCACCTCTGTTGACTAGATAAGCATAAACTGAGGTTTACTGTGCATACGTATTGCAGTTTGTTTGTTTATTTAAGGAATGACTGTAATATTTTTTCTGTCTATGAAGAAATAACATCAAAAATGTGGTGCACACTGAATAACCCGCGTAGCGGGTTATTTTAAAGTGTGCACCACATTTTTTATGTTATTTCGAATAGACAGAAAAAATATTACAGTCATTTCTTATAATTTAATTCTAAATTCCATTTTAAACCGTAGTAAACCATGAAAAAACGTTGATGACGTCACGGTCACATGACAAGATTATGTCTATGAGCTGATAAATAAAACAACGTCAGCCAATCAGAAGACGCGTTACATCCAAAATTAAATTATTCCACATTGATTAGAGGTATCGTGGGAGGGTTGAGATCTCACAAAAAATGGTTAGTCCGCCTGTTTGCGCCTGTCCCAAGTCAGGAACGTCTAGCCTATATTAGTTTTGTGTGTTTTGTTAGCAGTGCACTCCTACCTTTTAGTAGTACTCAATCCGTTTCACATATTTTGAATAATACAAATACATACCCTATTATAGATATGTTGGCAAAAAATATATATAAAGCTATCAAGCTTAAGCTATTTCATGGAGAGAAAAATAGATTTGACAGATATTTAATGCATTTTCTATCGCAACTATTAAAGAGAAAAAAAAATCGACTTCTGATTAGTACTTTATATCATATTTTTCATCTTATTTTCTCGACCTTATATATATATATATATATATACATCATTTATCATGAAGCTTATACCTAGTTACATGTTCCTTGTCCACGGCTATCACTCATTACATAATAAGTGTCCCTAACCCACCCACGACCACGATTTTGTCCTCGAAATACTTGCTGCGTGACGTTAGGTTTCGTCAGGTGCTATATGTACAAATCGTACCGTCTACGTTTTGTATTGTATTATTTAAACGAAAGGTAAGCTTAGTCAATGAATGAAGTTGACTAAATAGTACGTGTAAGGCGTTGTGGAAATTATTCTTTTATTATTTTTTAGTTGTTAATCTTAAAATACAGTATGAAATCATATAATCGACGTCATAACATGCGCCGTTGAACAGTCAATCTACCTGTATGTGTATTTATTTATTTATGATAAGACCACATGATTGAATTCATCTGTCGATAGGAGTACAAATGTATAACAGTTTGACCTTATTAAGCAATAACTTGGTCAAATAAGGTCAGTTAACAAATTATTCACTATTCTATGGCTCTGTGATAGTCGAGTTTGGCATATTTATACACCTTTATTGCTAGGATTTCAAACTCCTGTGCATTTATTTCCTTGAGCCAGTTGAGGGCGTCGAGTTTAGGTTAATTTATTTACTCTGTCCACTTGAGAGATCGACCTAATTTATGACATGGTAATACCGTATGATCGATGCAGTCACATTTCGAAATGTAATATATATGTATTACTTAAATTTCAAATTCGTTGGCGATTTATATAGTATGAGTCTAAAATTTATATCAAGGATCTTTAAGATTTTGCAGTTTTGGAACCTGTCTTTGTACATGTACATGTATCGTAATGAAGTATTTTATAAAAAGATTTACATATTGATGTTAATATTGACATTGATCTGTCCGTAACATATAGCGACTCTCCAATGTATACTAAATTATCAAGTTCCATTATTTTGTTGTATTGTTTGTTCGTCGACGTTCATGAAACTTATTAAAGGGCAGTTGTACCAAAAATCGTACCAAGGTATATAGATAATGTCTATATATCTTTACATTCTCACATGATTGTTAATCACAAGAATTGAATTTAAAAGGGGAAAGGTCTTTCTCGATCGATGTCTTTATGCCAGAGTTTATAAATATGTTATGTAATAGGGTGGAAATATCTTGCCCCTGAATACAAAAAGATTGAGAATGGAATACTGAAAACAGACCAACAAAAGTTTGTAATATGGAATTTATTTCCTGTGAATACAGAACGAATGAAAAGTAAAAAAGACCATTTTTTGCATATAGTGTGATAATAATACAGCCACATAAATAATCATTATATGGGTCATTATAAAAAAAACATGCAAAACTATGTTATTTGGTCTTTTCAAGTCAAAAGACATGAAACTATATCAAAATGTATCAAAATAACTATTGCATATGAAAGATATGAATGTTTTGTGATACACTATAAACAGTTTACAGTATGAAATGTTATAAAAACATTCTTAATTTTTTCTCAAACCCTTAGATATAGCCAGAATCAACTGTTATTTTTTACTATAAATCCCTTCAGACCTGAAATAGGGCTATTATTCATATCATTTGTTATTAGAAATTATCACTTTTTATTGCATTTGATACATACAAACATTTTTTTAATGATTTGGAAGGTGTATGTTGGTTTTATAATAAAAAAGTTAACCAAAAGGAAAAGTCTCATTTTTTAAGTCAATGGTGTAACCAAAAGACAAATTGGTAGGATAAGAGTTATCTTTTTCAATATTTCAGCATTTACAATAGTTTCTCCCTTAGCAATGTTACCTGTAAGCATGTTATGCAAAAGAAAACAAACATTTATGTTGAAAATTTAGTAAAAAATATTAAAAGTTAGTACAAGCTATATCGTTATTGAAAATAGTGTCCATGGTGTACCCTTATAAAAATCTTTTTTTTTTTAAATTCCTGAACTTTGAATTATGAAATATATTGATTGTAGAAACATGCACCAGGAACACCATATAAAATAGGGGAATGGAGCCCTTATTTTGTAACTAAACCTAAAATACACCTGAAAATCAATGGTGTTACTGTCAATGGTGAGACCATTTTAATAAAATAATACCATTGACCAGCTTAGTAACACCACTGAATATATTATGACAATCAGCATTTTTTGGTGTTTCTTTCATGTTAAACAAGCAAAACATCATATTATTTATAACAAACAATACTTATTTAACAATGTTTTAACAATATCATGTATTACATATACCAAGTTTTTCAAAAACTGGTGTGTGCTGGTAACACCAATGACACTATTTAGTAACACTACTGACATTTTTAGTTATTGATATTATGTTATATAATTTGAGATTTTTAAGCCTAAGAATTATTTTTTCTTCATTTTCTTTTGCTCAGTGTTCTCTGTTTTGTATTCAGTACTTAATAAAAGTAAAATTTGAAATGTGTTGTCAATGGTGATACTTTTGTGTCATTGGAGTTACTGAAGAGTCAGTGGTGTTACTATATAAAAATGCGATACTTTTTAATTTTTATTCATAAATGAAAGCGTTTTTAGGTTGTATACGAAGGATTAAGCATATTCTTATCATTTCATCTTATACATTATACATATATTCAATTTAAGTGTATTTTTTAGTATTTACAACAGCCATAATTAGGACAGCCAACTTTTTCACGACAATGTATTCTGAAATTTATGTTTAAAAAGAATGTATAGCTAGAGGAATAATGTCAATAAGTAGTAATTTAAACCTTAACAACAAATTGGAACAGTTGTTTGATGTTTAACAATAATATTTAGTACCTAAATGCATGTTTTAAATTGGTAACACCATTGACACGATTCTATCAAAGGATGACCTAAAATTGTTAAAATTGAAGGAACCCTTCATTTTTCCCATTGCATATTTCTGAAAATAGTTGCTACCATACTATAGAATAGAGGGACACATTTAAATGTTTTAAACAATGACATCGTTTTTCCAAATATTACTTCATCGAAATTTGCATGTTTTTTGATAATGACCCATATATGAAATTATTCATTTTTCTTCTATATGTATGTTTCTTGAAAATCACGATAATTTCCCTTTCATTACATACAGGACATATAGTGTATGTTTCCCAAGTTTTTTTTCTTTGCATCAGTTGGATCTATAGATATTATTTCTTTGCATCAGTTGGATCTAAAGATATTATTTCGTTGTATCAGTTGGATCTAAAGATATTATTTCTTTGCATCAGTTGGATCTATAATAGATATTATTTCTTTGCATCAGTTGATCCTATAAAGATTTTATTTCTTTGCATCAGTTGGATCTAAAGATATTATTTCTTTGCATCAGTTGGTTCTATAAAGATATTATTTCTTTGTATCCGTGGTCCTATAAAGATATTATTTCTTTGCATCAGTTGGTCCCATAAAGATATTATTTCTTTGCATCAATTGGATCTAAAGATATTATTTCTTTGCATCAGTTGGATCTAAAGATAATTATTTCTTTGCATCAGTTGGTCCTATAAAGATATTATTTCTTTGCATCAGTTGGTCCTATAAAGGTATTATTTCTTTGCATCAGTTGGTCCCATAAAGATATTATTTCTTCGCATCAGTTGGATCTCAAGATATTATTTCTTTGCATCAGTTGGATCTAAAGATATTATTTCTTTGCATCAGTTGGTCCTATAAAGATATTATTTCTTTGCATCAGTTGGTCCTATAAAGATATTATTTCTTTGCATCAGTTGGTCCCATAAAGATATAATTTCTTTGCATCAGTTGGATCTAAAGATATTATTTCTTTGCATCAGTTGGCCCGATAAAGATATTATTTCTTTGCATCAGTTGGTCCTATAAATATTTTATTTCTTTGCCATAGTTGGATCTAAAGATATTATTTCTTTGCATCAGTTGGTCCTATAAAGATATTATTTCTTTGCATCAATTGGACCTAAAGATATTATTTCTTTGTATCAGTTGATCCTATACAGATATTATTTTTTTGCATCAGTTGGTCCTATAAAGATATTATTTTTTTGCACCAGTTGGATCTAAAGATATTATTTCTTTGCATCAGTTGGTCCAACAAGGATATTATTTCTCTGCATCAGTTGGATCTAAAGATATTATTTCTTTGCATCAGTTGATCTAAATATATTATTTCTCTTCGGAGGTATTTTATGTTTTGATTGTTTCACATTTCAAACATTGGTAGTTACAAGGGTGGATCCACCCATCTTAAAAGAAGGGGGTTCCAACCCAGGAGAAAGGGGGGTTCCAAATATATGTCCCCATTCAAAAGCATTGATCATAAAAAAGGGGGGTTCCACCCCCGCACCGCTCCCCCTTATCCGCAACTGGGTTATTTATATCCATCTTCATTTTTTGTGTTCACTTCATAGTATTTAATAGCAAAAAAAATGTGGTTTTTTTTAAATTAAATAGCAAGGAACTATATTTACACAAACTGCGAATTTCAAATTTTCGACATTGAAGATTCAACAAAATGTTTTAATGATTTTTTCTATGTGAATATACACACGATCAATAACAGTCAGATTTATAAACGAATACTGCAAGGTTTATCTTAAATATGCAGTTCAGACACGTATTTTTAATTCGAACTGTAATGTAAGCAAATAAATTATGTTTAAACTAAACCATGCTACTGTCTGAAGATACATTTATTTATGGCATTGCACTATTCATTTCTTCTTTGACTGTCCATGACGTTAAAATACTAAATCCCTGGGATGTATTTTAGTTGATTTTAGTCTCTGATGCATGATTTTTTATTATTAATTGTTTTGGCTTTTAACTAGCTGTCAGTAACTGCGAGTACTCTCAAATCGTACTTTCTTGTTTATTTGACCTGTTGATACTAATTGTATTGCTTTTTTGTTATTTAATGTTATTCAGGGTTATATCTGGTCTATATACCAGCTTTGATAAGTGTTTGGTATTACTATAAATTTTCACTTCGTACTATGAACATCAAAATTATTTATTTTGTAAAAATATTTCCTTTCTCTATTGGAACTGTACACGTATACCTAACAACAAAATTATTTTCATATACCTGTGCTTAAAGTTATTGCAAATGGCTGATATTTTTGTTCGAGCATATTGTTTTTCTTTAATTGTTTAACATTTCATACCGATATAACATGTTACTTTTATTATTCTTCCCTTAGTTTATTTATTTTGAATTTACATTGTTTCATAGGTTAAATTTATTTGTTCAGTGTATGTTCAATGGTGTTAATATGTCCTTTGATTGAGTTAAGCTATTTCAGTTGATATTTTATAGTGTGTCTTTCTACGTTGTGATGTTACACTATTGTTTCAGAAAAAGGGTGAAGGTTTGGTACCATTAAAACGTTTAAACCCGCTGCATTTGTTTGCACCTGTCCTAAGTCAGGAATCTGATGTTCAGTAGTTGTCGTTTGTTGATGTGGTTCATAAGTGTTTCTCGTTTCTCGTTTTTTTTATATAGATTAGACCGTTGGTTTTCCCGTTTGAATGGTTTTACACTAGTAATTTTTGGGGCCCTTTATAGCTTACTGTTCGGTGTGAGCCAAGGCTCCGTGTTGAAGACCGTACTGTGACCTATAATGGTTTACTTTTATAAATTTTGACTTGGATGGAGAGTTGTCTCATTGGCACTCATACCACCTCTTCTTATATCTATTATATCAAATATTTTAATTCTAAAATCATTGTAAAATTTGATGAAAGTCCTGTTAAATTTGATGAATTTAAATCACACAATTTTACTCATGTGACTATCTCGATGCTCTCAAAGTAGCATGTTCGCCTAGAGTGCAGAAGGTCGTGGGTTCAAACCAGTGCCGATTAATACCAAAGACTATAAAATCGATATTTGCTGCTTCTCTGCTAATAACGCGGCATTAAGGAGCAAGAGCAAATACTGGTATGCTCGGAGTCTGACGTATGTGTCAGGGTATGGTGACATGTTTGCCTGCGAACTGTTGCCTTGTGAACTAGCACGTTAAAATTTTTAATCCGGCCTTGCACGTTAAAAATGGAGAGCCGTGGTGTAGTGGTTAGCGCATCGGACTAAAAATACAAAGGTTCCAGGTTCGATTCCCGTTCCGGGGAGAAAATTTCACACCCTTGTAGATTTCGAAAGAGCAGACTAATGCCGCTATAAGGCAGCACTCGCACCAGCAAAAAAGACAGGGATTCATATAAGTTGTAATAACTTGTTTCCCAATCCACTATAAATAAATATGTTTAAACTAAAAATCCGACTCAGAGTGTCGGTCTAGTACATAGCAGGGTTAATATTCATATTACATTGACATGTTTCGTCCTGAATATGCATTTAATTTGCCGCTGGACTTTAAACAGCATCCAGCCATCCTACTTATACTGTCTTTTGAAATGCTATTGGAAGTTAATTGAATGATTTACTAGGGTAGGATATTTATAACTAGATAAACAATTCGCCTACATGTTTCCAAGGTTACTATCCAGGTTTAAACTAGTTTCTTGTGTGCAGACTATGCAGATATGGTTATTTATATCCATGCATCTTCATTTTTCTGCTCATTGCAAATATTATTAAACAGTTTCAACAGCAAAGCAAACATCTGATTTTTTTATGTCAATGAACTGTTTGCACGAACTGCTAATTTCAAATTTTTGACGTGGAATATTCAACAAAGCCTTTAACTGATTTTAATTAAGTGAATTTTAACAAACATAACGGCCAGATTTCTATTTTAAAAATACCGCAAGGTTTGTCTTATACGCGGTTCAGACACGTATTTTTAATTCCAATTGAACTGTTACATCAATTGAGTAGATGCAAATATTATAACTCTACACAATCTAACTCATTCACATAAAGAAAACCAGTAACATGACAAACATTTAATAATATAATCATCAGATAGTATATAATATTAATAATACAGTTGTTAGTATTTTGCGACTTGTAGATAGTCCAAATGACTATGGCGTTTTATGTGTTTCTTTATTCTACATTGGCTAGAGGTATAGGGGAGGGTTGAGATATCAAAAAACATATTTAACCCCGCCGCATTTTTGCACCTGTCCCAAGTCAGGAGCCTCTGGCCTTTGTTAGTCTTGTATTTTTTAAATTTTAGTTCATTTTTATGTTTTGGAGTTTAGTGTGACGTCCATTTCACTGAACTTGTACACAATTTTATTCAGGGGCCAGCTGAGGACCACCTCCGGGTGCGAGATTTTCTCGCTGCGTTGAAGACCCATTGGTGGCCTTCGGCTGTTGTCTGCTCTTTGGTCGGGTTGTTGTCTCTTTGACATATTCCCCATTCTCAAGTTTATATAATTTTTCTGCTGTGACGCCTTCCTACGATGCCGGAAAACGTCACAGCAAAAAGATAAAATAGCCTTTCAACAGAATTATTTTGACTGTCCTGTAGTAAGAAAGATCCATTAGTACTGGTTATTTCTTCTTATTAGGAGGCCAATACATTGTCAGTGACAAATGAAGAGCTACCAGAAAGAGCAAATGTTTCTGTGTGTAATCTTAAAGTTTTCAAATATTTTAATTACATTTAATCTTTTGTTACACTAAAAACTTTTGATATCAATAGTTATTTGTAATAAAAAATTGATTTAAAAATGTACTTAGGGGACATTAAATAAATCTAGAATTTTCTATTCTATATTCGAATTTGGAAGAGCTCTGATTAACTAAGGAACAAAATTAGCTAAAAATATTGATTGGTTTATATGAAGCTCTTTTTCAAGAATTTTTTTTGTAAAAAAGGCGGGAAAAGGCCGACTCTGGATTATACCTTCTATTTAGAATCTCCTTAAATTTTAGTAAATGACCTTTTATGAGCTATTGAATTTTTATATGAAAGAAAAATGGGTTTTTATGGGGCAAAATATTTTACCCTGTATTGTAGGAAATAAACCAAGATGTCCGAAAATCTGACACAAATTCCTAAACCTCACCTAACATGCCTAAGTACATCATTAAGCGGACTTCTGCATTGTATAAACTTCTACACTGAACATTGTTGTGCATGGTGCTTTATTAACTTAATACTGTTCTGCTTTGATTGAGCTGCATATTTCAGAGTATAACTAATGCTCTTCTGACTATCAATTTTAAATTCTAGACTTTTTAGATATCACATAAGTACATGTACATCCTTAACTTAATAAGTAGAAGTATAAAAAAACTACTTTTCTCACGCGTTAACTCCAAATGACAAACATTACTACATATACATGTATATTTAGATGGTGACGTTCCCTTGTCACCATCTTATGGTGTTTATATATCTCAACTTGTACGATTCGCTCGTGTATGTAACAAGATGTAGATTTTAGCGAGAGAAATTTATGTATTACTGAAAAATTATTACACCAGGGTTTTCGATATCATAGACTAGTAAAAACATTTACTAAATTATATCATCGGTATAAGGACATCATTCGTAAATATAACTCAACATGCAGACATCTTAGACGTTCGGGTATTTCACATCCAATCTTTTATGGTAATATTCTTTACGAAGCACAAAAATGTCAGCATTCACCTCAAAAACTAACAAAACCTTTAAACAGACTTATTAAGAAGGGATATAGTTACGATACTGTTGTCAGGTCATTAAAGATTGCATATTTTGGCTTTAATATTGATTCACTTATAAGGTCTTTGCATCGGAATTAAACATATTTATTCTAAAACCAGTTGTTGGCATGACACGGGCTATGTTCTCATATATTTTATGATGGTATAATACTAAACCCCTAACAGGAGGGATTGTGCCTGATATTCATATGATGAAGACATAATCTTTCAATCAGTTTAATTGAGGTCTGGAGCTGGCATGTCAGTAACTGCTAGTAGTCTGTTGTTATTTATGTATAATTGTCATTTTGTCTATTTTCTTTTGTTTCCTATTCTGACATCGGACTCGGACTTCTCTTAAACTGAGTTTTACTGTGCGTACTGTTGTACGTTTGTTTTTTTCTACATTGGCTAGAGGTATAGGGGAGGGTTGAGATCTCAAAAAACATGTTTAACCCCGCCGCATTTTTGCGCCTGTCCCAAGTCAGGAGCCTCTGGCCTTTGTTAGTCTTGTATCATTTTTAATTTTAGTTTCTTGTGTATAATTTGGAGTTTAGTATGACGTCCATTATCACTGAACTAGTATACATAGTTGTTTAGGGGCCAGCTGAAGGACGCCTCCGGGTTCGGGAGTATCTCGCTGCATTGAAGACCCATTGGTGGCCTTCGGCTGTTGTCTGCTCTATGGTCGGGTTGTTGTCTCTTTGACACATTCCCCATTTCCATTCTCAATTTTATATGATAAGATAACAATGATTTTAGGTAGTAAAGACTTAGTTTAGAGAAAAAACCCGTTAAAATTTCAAGTATCCACAATAATAATCGTTGCATAAAATGCAAAAAAAAAAAAATCACTATTCTACGAAAGCACGTTTGTGCGACTCACGTGTCTGTAACATTATCATTAAGTATGCCTTTGATATACTTCGCAACTTATCTATAGAAGAGCGAATGATGCCCCCGCCGGAGTGCTTATTTTACGATCGCCGAAATTTTATTTTTAGATCACAGAAATGAAATATATTTTTCAGATTGAGAGTACAGATATTATAATGGATAGCTTTAATATGGATTTTTTGAATTCAACATTGCTAACTCCCGACCTACCATCTGATACCGACTTATTCTTTGGTATTGCTGACTTCCCGCTATCTGATAGCCCACCAAATCACTTATCATTTAATTCAATATGTATGTCAGCGCTAGACGAAGAATTATCTTGTAGTTCTTCCGCAGATAGTGGCAAAGGAGAATCGGAAGATTTGGAATCAATTATACATAGAGGGGAATCGGAAGATTCGGAATCAATTATACATAGAGCGGAATCGGAAGATTCGGAATCAATTATACATAGAGGAGAATTGGAAGATTCGGAACCGATAAATAAGGGAGAATCGAAAGATTCGAAATCGGAACAGCCACCGCCAAAGAAAAAACATCGAAAAAACCAACCGCCTGATGCTGAACATCTTCCTCCATGTAGAGTTTGTGGAGAAAAGGCATCAGGACTCCATTATGGCGCTAATACATGTGAACCATGTAAGGTAAGTAACTTACACCATTTAGAGTTTGTGGAGAAAAGGCGTCAGGACTTCATTATGGCGCTAATACATGTGAACAATGTAAGGTAAGTAGATGCATGAACATGAACTCAATTGTATAGTGTGACGGGATTGCTTCCCTTAGTAAATGTGTTAGATACTTAGTCAGTCGTAAGCGCTTGAGCAAAGGAAGTACTGATTTAGCGCTGTCGGTATACGCGCTGCCTTGTAACACAGAGGTCCCGGTGCAAACAAGCAAGCAATCTTTTAAAGAAATTTATGCTCTCCGGTTACAATTATATAGTTTAGCATGTGGCATGGATTGCGTACTGTTATATGACACTGGAACATCTAGTACTTTTTACTTAAGACTTAAGGAAAGGAGATCACATCGTCCTCATTGTTACACAAACTGAGGTTTTATTAAATAAGTTAGACGGTATTCGTTAGTGGTAGACCGGGAACAAAGATCAATGTATTCTGTTGCAATTAGTTTCATTAGCTACAACTGAATGAAATGCACAAAGATTATGCACTGATAAAAACAAATTATCAACTCTTACAGAACTGTTATCTATACTTTGACGTCATGAAACGGGCTTATACAAGTATACACATTTTGTTATCACTACTATAAAAATAAACTAACCGTTTGAATGGTTTTACACTAGTCATTTTTGTGGCTCTTTATAGCTTGTTGTTCGGCCAATTAAGGCTCCGTGTTGAAGACCGTACTTTGACCTATAATGGTTTACTTTTACAAATTGTGACTTTAATGGAGAGTTGTTTCATTGGCACTCATGCCAAATCTTCTTATATCTAACATACAATATTAGAAGAGAATATACAGTTACTAGGAAACCATTTCATGTCTGGGATAATTATTAATACGATTGTATTGAATGTCATTTAATTTAATGATTAAAGAAAATACCCCTCTTTGATAAAAACGATGTCTGACGAGAGATCTTACACGCTAACCATGTTAACTCTAAGAGCCTTATGAGAAACGTGAGAAAATGTTTTTTCTTTCGAAATTTGGTTTTTTACTTTTACAAAACATACAGTAACTATGGCTTACAATATCAATACTTCAAACAAGAAATTTATGTAATTTGTATGGAACGCCACAGCTGTCTTATGTGGAACTCTGATATTACTTTATGTTGTTTTATTATTACTTGATGATATTTTGTCTTTACTTAATATGGTTTTGACATTACGTAATGATGTTTTGATATAACTCAATATGGAATAGTCATTACTTAATGATATTTCGATATTACACGATATGGTTTCGTATTGATTTGATATAGTTTTGTCATTACTCAATATGGTTTTGTCATTACTCGATGTGGTTTCACCATTATTTAATGTGGTTGTGTCATTAGTCAATGTGGTTTTAACATTACTTGATGTGAATGTGACTTAACGTTATGTAGTTGTTTCATTACATGATGTGGTTTTGTTATTTCGTAATGATGATTTGCCTATTCTTTATATGGTTTTAACATTACGTAATGATGTTTCAAAATTTGACGATTTTACACTACATGATGTGTTTGTTTCATTATTTGATGTGGTCCTGTCATTCTTTGATGTGGTTATCCCATTACTTGATGAGGTAAAATCACGTGACCAATTCGGAAAAACCTGTTCTATTTTTAGATAGATTTCCATGTTGTATGTGCCTTGGATGAGTGTGGCCATCCATCGAATTAGAGTTCAAATTAAAGTTCGGGTTACTGTTTGAGTTAAATTTTGAGTTAGACTTCGATTTCGAATTAAATTTGTTATTATAATTAAAGTTTTAGTTAGCATTGAGCTTCGAGTTGGACTTCGAGTTTGAGTCACATTTAAAGGTAGAGTTCGAGTTACAACATTAAATTTGAGTCACTTTATGAGGTAGAGTTTTAGTAAGATTCGAATTTAAGTCTCATTTAGATTAATTAAGATTTTGAGTTGAAATTCGAGCTATCTCATATGAGTTCGTAATTAAATTTTCTATCGCGGAACAAGGACTTTTGCTCGGGCTTCCGAAAAGGTATGCGTACAAAAGATAAACAATGTTACAGTATACATAACGCAACATAGAAGTTGAAATAAAGTTAGATGTGGTGTGATTGACAATGAGACAACTATCCACCAGAGTTAAAATGCAGTGGATATAAGAAATTATATATAGGCAACCGTACAGCCTTCAACACACCGTATAGTCAGCTACAAAAGGCCACCATGCACCATGTGAAAAAATTCAAACGAAAAAACAAACGGTCTTATTTATAAATAAACAATCTACAAAAAAAATGACATACATTTATACAACGACAACAATTGAACTTCATGCACCTCTGTTGGGGCAGGTACATAAAGAAAGTGCACGTGGCGGAGTTTAACATGTATGTGAGCGCTAAATCCTAACCTTACATCGGACTTTTACAGTTGTGTAACAGCACAACACGAGAACAAAAATGTAAACTAGACAAAATGATGCCCCCGCACTCAACTCATTTAACCGCTTATATCCCAAAAATGACAAAAAAAAGTTCAATTATCTCCCAAAAGAGCAAAAGATAATAAAAATAAAAACCCTGACCACATGCACACCTTCAATATATGTACAAACAGACAGTGAAGAGAAAACTTCCTAGAATTCAAACTGTGGGAGGAGTTATGCGGAATAACTATATACCCATAATGGGACGGACGGACAGACGGACGGACAGACGGACGGACGGACGGACAGAAGTAAAACAATACGCCCCCCCTGACTTTCAGTTGCGGTGGCATACAGAACAGTTTCATTTGGCTGATTCAATAGATCGGTATGACTGGGTAATATAAATCCATCGGGGTGATCTCGGATGCTCCAGAAAGGCACCCGTCGTGTTATTCGAGAAAGTACAAACCGAGTGATTTGGTTTTATTTGGTAGTTTACATTCAAGGAAAAGATGACGGTATTATGGTTACGACCACTGGAACATGTCCGTCGTCACATGTGAAACAGATATTCCAAAAAGTTTATTTTTCAATTAGTGCGAGGTAGATCAGGGAATTCAATTGATAAATAAAAGATTGATATTCGTATAAGTTCAAATGATCATTTATGCTAAAAAAAATTCGGAGAATTCTTATTTTATAGTATTGATGCTTTGTCGCTTAGTCCGAGCCCCCCTCCCCCCGTTTCCCCGTAACTTTAGTGTGAGTAGATTTGAAGTGTTTCATTTGTGAACAATAAAGTTCAAGTCTTTTGATTTGTGTCGAGCCTGCGACATCAATGTATCGGCAGTGAGACACAACAAACTTATATTTCGTCGTCGATAGTGGTGTCGGCGTCTCCATCTCCATTTTTTTTTTTTATTTATATTGAGTTTAACCTTTCATTTTACATGTTACTAAACATGTATGCCATCATAATTTTGTACTTTTAGAATATCATACTGTATTTGTTTACCTCGACTATTGTATCTGTATTTATATTGTATGTTTCTCTGTAAACTTGTATTTAGTTTTAGAGAATAAAGTATCTATCTATCTATCTATAGATCGTTAGGTTTCTAGTTTTTTACATTTTTCATTTCGGGACCTTTTATAGCTTACACTATAGGGTATGGGTTTTGCTCATTGTTGAAAACCATACAGTTTTGTTTTAGTTAAATAAAACCGAATTAAACTGTTTTGACATGATAAATTTGTAAACCTGCATGAAGTGTTTTAAAACTTGTATAGAAGTTATTCCTCAATTTCAAGAAAAAGCATCTACAGAAAAACATTTTTTTTTTCGATAAATGTATAGATAAATGTACAGCCGATCATCATGACGCTTTTACACTTACATCAGCAATATCAGGCGAGACACAGGGTTCCGTGGAATATTTTACAAATTTATTACAAAAATACTGCTTCCGTTTGAGAACTTAGGATAAAAACAACAGGACCAAGTGGTTTGGGGATATCCCAATTATGTCCGAAATACTGTAAACTTTTTAATACTTTCTTTCTTATTATTATCTGCCGTTCCCTTTTTTCATACCAAATAACTCTGAACAACCACTCGAACTTTAATTTGAACTTTAACTCAATGGATAGCAATACCCATCCAAAGCACATTAAACAAACGATATATTGAAATCTGTTTAAAAATAGAACATATTTTTTCCGAATTGGTCACGTGGTTTTACCTCATCAAGTAATGAGATAACCACATCAAAGAATGACAGGACCACATCAAATAATGAAACAAACATATCATGTAGTGTAAAATCGTCAAATTTTGAAACATAATTGCGTAATGTTAAAACCATATAAAGAATAGGCAAATTATCATTACGAAATAACAAAACCACATCATGTAATGAAACAACTACATAACGTTAAGTCACATTCACATCAAGTAATGTTAAAACCACATTGACTAATGACACAACCACATTAAATAATGGTGAAACCACATCGAGTAATGACAAAACCATATTGAGTAATGACAAAACTATATCAAGTCAATATATGAAACCATATCATGTAATATCGAAATATCATTAAGTAATGACTATTCCATATTGAGTTATATCAAAACATCATTACGTAATGTTAAAACCATATTAAGTAAAGACAAAATATCATCAAGTAATAATAAAACAACATAAAGTAATATCAGAGTTCCACATAAGACAGCTGTGGCGTTCCATAAATTTGAGTGAATGTTACAGGATAATACAAATATAACTAATGTATTTCAGGGTTTCTTTCGTCGCAGCATAGTCAAAATAGAAAAGAAGAAGGAAAAATACGTATGTGCTAAAGGAGATGAATCATGTAAGCTTGGAACTGGAAAACGGACAATGTGTTCCTATTGTAGATATAAAAAATGTCTAGATATAGGAATGTCACACAATGGTAAGAAAAATGTGCTTATATCGAATGTTCATGATTCATTCGTCGAGTGCTTCTTGGTTGTTGCTACAAAACATCAGGTCATCGCGAGGTTTGAAATGTCCGCTTGGTTGTACACGGGATGTATAACTACATAGAAAACGTCAGTATGGTGACCTCTAGTCTCAGTGGCGGATCCAGAAATTTTCATAAGGGGGTGGGGGGCACTGACTACCTAAAAGGGGACCCGCTCCAGTCATGCCTCAGTGTTTCCCTATATAACCAACCAAATGTTTCCCACAAAAGGGGGCCCGGGCACCCTGCCCCCCCCTTAAATCCGCCTGAGTCTACTTTTGATAAATTTTATAACAGCGCAAGACATAATGCTTGATCATCTTTTGTGTGTGTATAGGAAAAGGGGAAGGGTAGGGCATGGTTCAAAGAAAATGACATTTTTAATGGTTGATTGTTACTTTCACGAGAACTTTTTTTTTTTATTTAGAAGGGATTTAAAAAAAAAATGTTTCCATTACGCATTAAGGGGGAAAACCAACATTGGAGTCAATAAACATTTATTATTCCTGAATATTTTTTGAAAAATGTTTTCTTGATTAAAGCAAAAAAAAAAAAAAAAAAAGTTTGATCCAAGTAAAAAACTCATACCCCAACCAACATCCTAAGATATCTGTCAGACTTTTAACTCGTAGTCATCTTTTTACAATATTTCAACTATTTCTACTATTGTCTAATTTCAGCTATTAAAATTGGAAGGTATACCCACGAAAAGAGAACCAAAGATATAACAGAGGTCAGAAAGTTAAAACTAAAAGAAAATCAGACAGTTGATACGACATCACTTGATGTAATGGAACAGGAAGTTGATGAATTAGTGGCGCGATTGATTGTTATCCAGGAAGAATTCTGTGCCGATTTTAGAACATGTTTTCAACCAGGTGGCCTTCTTGAAAAGCATAAGTTTGTTTATGTATGTTTAGTTAAATGCGACTTATATATATATATATATAGAGCTAAATACATACTGAGAGGAGATGGGGCCATTTTTTTCTTTTTCACTCCGAGGGTTAAATTAAAAATCGTGAAAACCTATGAATATATGCTTTTTAGTAATAAGACCCGTCACGGCCAGGCTTGGGTAACTGGGTAGACAAATGCTCACATTAAATCTGTACCGGTACTGTGTGTTACATGTCCTCCTTTACACCATAACCCATGTTGGTGCTCCTACTAAGGAAGGAGGAAGATACAGAACATACATACATATAATAAGAGTCCATATAGTATTCTGTTTTTTGTCGTTTTTTTATAAAGTACCATAGTGTATTGGTTTTGCTCATTCTTGAAGGCTATACGGTGATCTATGATAGTTGCTTACATAATCCTCATCAGCGGTCTCTTGTGGATAGTTGTATCACTGGTAATCAGGGGCCTCGGTGGCCGATTGGTCTAAGTAGTCGATCTACTGTATCACTATGCACTGAGATTTTGAGTTCGAATCCCGCACGTTCGACTCCAATCAATATTCGCTAGGATTGTCAGTTTTTCTGTCTTCCTCCATTTTTTTTGCTGAAAGTGGAGATACAAATTAATCAATCATTGGCAATCATATCACATCTTAATTTTCATATTGAACAATTATACCTATTCACATGAAATCAAAAAGTTATTCGTCAATATTGTTTATTTTCAATTTCATTTTTTCGAAAGATAATGCTATCAGGACTCGAAACCGAAAACATGATTGATTAAGCCTGAATTGCATTTTCAAAGCTTTCAACTTCGTCATTTATTTTGGCCGTCCAACTGTTTTGATTTGAGCGCGTGTGACATATTAAACTTTGATAAAAAAATGAAGTTGTGGCATGCTTGTCAATGTGACAGCTATTAGACCAAAAGACAAAGATGTGAACAGATATAGATCACCTTACGGCCTTTAACAATAAGAAAAAAAAACGTACCGTATCCGTATAGTAATCTATATTATAAGTCGCCGGTATGACAAAAGACTTGAATAATTCAAAACAGAAAGCCGACGTCACGGACCGTTTTATACAACAATAAATGAAATACAAATATTGCAGATAGCAACCTAGAACAATCACTTGGTTGCAGGTTGCTGGTTTGAGACATACATACACACACACAATGTGTTGAGGTTTAATATTATTGAAAGTCATTATCTTTGGTGAGGTTTTAGTTACACCAATGTTATGAGTGAAAGAAAATACAATCAAACAACTTTCAGTCTCATTTTTAAACGCTGTATATCAGTTTGTCAGTCATCAAAATACACTGTTTGTTTTTATTTATTTTCAGGAAAGATTCAAACTAAAAACGGAAACATTTGGTAACCTTGCTGCAGTACCATGGAGTACTTACAATGAATTCCTATCTGCAACTGGAATGGAACTTGACGATAGAAAAAGTCGGATGAACATTATAGCAGCACGAATGGAACAAGCCGTTCGGAACATGGTTAATTTTGCAAGAAATATACCGGGTTTTTCTGATCTTCAGACGCCAGATCAGCTAGCTTTACTTAAAGGTAACGAATAAACATATATATTTGCCATGAAAAAAAAAATACCATTCATTAAAATTTCATCCAATAATTGAAAAATATCAGAAATAGGTCAGTTTATAAAGCTTTTTATTGTTTTTGTTTCGTCGCATTATGAATTGCTATCCAGAGGCGTCATCGGAGAAAAAATGTCTTGAAAAAAACCCAACTTAACTCTAGAATATCGGTATAATAATAACTATAAACATCATAAATTGTGTATCATGTTGTTTGTATGAACCGCTTATAGAATCATCCAAGTACATCACGAGTCAAGTGATTTTTGTAAGTTTCAAGCTGCCATTTTGGTGTAAAACAGTTTCATTTTTTTAATGGCCCAGGGGTTCCAAAAGGGATATACTTCATTTTCGGGGACAAATATCAAGACATGACTAATAAAAATTACTAAATGTTTGCTTTCCAACTTAATTGATGCAGGATGAAAAAATAATACCATATAAAAGTATAATTCTAAAGTTTCATCCTTAAAACTCTAAAAGTTCAACTTGGTCTTTTATGGTTTGTTTGCTTTACTTCTTACTACGCTATATTTTGTGCGCGATTTGATAGAGTTTGGATTCCCATGGTGGTCACTGAGGAGACGCATAATTAACATGTAATAAAACACGCAATTGTGCTAAGGCTTTTTTTTTTATATTGGATGGTATATAAAAAATGGATTAACGAGATTAATCCTGTTGCTGCTATTATAAAAGAAACTAAAATTGAACTAAAAAAAAAATAAGACTATTTTTTCTTGGTTATATTTCCTTTTTCATTAAAATATATATAACATGTTTAAAGAAAAAAATTACAAACGTAGCGTAAACGTTATAGAACTGATTAAAGAAATGTGCATATAAGTAAATCTTTTGCATATTCCATAAGTAAATCTTTCGTATATTCCATATTAAGTAAATTTTTCGTATATTTCATAAGTAAATCTTTCGTATATTCCATAAGTAAATCTTTCGTATATTCTATAAGTTAATCTTTCGTATATTCCATAAGTAAATCTTTCGTATATTCCATAAGTAAATCTTTCGTATATTCCATTTCAGCTGGTTACTTGGAATACTGCCTTATTGGAGGGCATACTAGAGTTAACACAACTCTCAAAGTATTTGCAGGTGCTCTTGAAGTACCAATATTCGGATTACATTTTTCTCAGATTACACATTTGGAACCAAAAGTCTTAGACCAGATTTTAGATTTTGCCACCAGTTTTCAAAAGTGTCAGTTAACAGTCGAAGAAGTTACACTTGCACGAGCGATTGTCATTACATTTAGTGGTATGGATATTACAAGATCTAATTATGTTAAACCAATATGATATTATAAAGAGCACTTCACGGTTAATTTACCTCTCTGTTTCTAATTTTTCTTCCACCGTCAGTCTGTGGTTATTTTGTGCAATGTTATACGCTGTAACGAGCGAACCCATTTAGGGTTATACCGGAAACCTGTGGTAGGCGCGCACATTGTGTAAGATGCACTTTAACCTTCGCTCCGATGAGGGCTGGATAGGGGCCCTTCATTTCTGTATTTATTTATTTTGTTTATGCCATGTTGCTTTAGTCTTTATATTTTGTTCGCTCATTATTCCCTAGTCTTTATATTTTAGCACATCAACAATATATTCCTTTGTCTTTATTTTTTTAGTCCATTTACTCTATTCTTTATATTTTTTGCTCATTATTCTCTATTCTGAACCCCCTTTCCGATTCCACAAGTCCTAGGTTAGTCATTGAAGGGACCATTGAAAAAAGATGTTATATAGAAATAACAATGTCAAAATCGATTAATGAAAACTGCCAATTATGACGTACGACTTTTATATGGTACGGTGGCAATTCGATTATACGATATTGTTATTTTATTAGAATCTGTTATGTTTTGAATGCTCCAAGAGATTTTAGCTTACCATATTGATCGTTATATTGTAAAAAAAAACAACTTGAGCGTACTGAAATCCTATCATAGTTTTATATATTTTAATACTATTCCATCATCCCTATCTGACCTACAAAAAACTTTACATACCAGGAGATGTTTAACGACCTTGAATACCCATGAGTGTCTCGCTCGGCCTGCAATCTTTACATATTAACGTCTCTGTTTTATAAGGACACATTCTTAAAGGGACCCGACCACCTAATGGAATGTCGATCAAGCAATTGAACTTGGAAATAGTTGAGAAATGCACACTAACTTTCCAAGTTTATGTAAATAAAATCAACTATATTTCCAGTGTCTATGAAAAAGCAAGATATGGTTAATTCATTGATCATATTTCATAATTTATAATTTTGTGAATAATAAAAAAAAATAATTCCTTTTTTCAAAATCAAGGATCTTTTACAAAATCACAGAGTTAATTGGGCACACATGATTACATTTATTGTCATAAAGTGGTCTTCATGCTGTGAAACTTAATAATGTTAATATAAACGTCTGTTCAACGGAATAAACACAAAAAATGAGGAATTGTTTAATCCTGTTTGTCCTTAATAAAGATTGTTTCTTTTCAAATTCTTTAAGTTTTGAAAAAAAGAACTATATTTGGTATGTGCGTACCTTGCGAGGTCCTCATGCCCGTCATATAGTTTTCACTTGACCTCGACCTCATTTCATAGATCAGTGAACAAGGTTAAGTTTTGGTGGTCAAGTCCATATCTCAGATACTATAAGCAATAGGCCTAGGTCTAGTATATTCGGTGTATGGAAGGACTAAGATGTACACGTCCAACTGGCAGGTATCATCTGACCTTGACCTCATTTTCATAATTCATTGGTTATAGTTAAGTTTTTGTGTTTTGGTCTGTTTTTCTTATACTGTATGCAATAGGTCTACTATATTTGGTGTATGGAATGATTGTAAGGTGTACATGTCTAGCTGGCAGGTGTCATCTGACCTTGACCTCATTTTCATAGTTCAGTGGTCAAAGTTAAGTTTGTGAGTTTTGGTCTTTTTTTCTAATACTATATGCAATAGTTCAAATATATTTGGTGTATGGAAATATTTTATGATCTATATGTCAGTCACGTAGGTTTTATTTGACTTTGATCTCATTTTCAAGGTTCATTGCTCAGTGTTAGGTTTTTGTGTTTTGGTCTGTTTTTCTTAAACTATAAGCAATAGGTCAACTATATTTGTTGTATGGAAGAATTGTCAGCTGTACATGCCTGCCTAGCATGGTTCATCTGACCTTGACCTCATTTTCATGGTTCATTGGTCAATGTTTAGTTTACTTGGTTAATGTTAAGTTTATGTGACAGTTGTAATAAAGCTTTATATTTAGGACTATCAACACAATATCAATGATTAGCAAAGAAGGCGAGACATTTCAGCGTGTGCACTCTTGTTTATGAATAATTAATTACATTTTTTATATTTTTGTTTTGACAGATAGATGTGTCTTACAAGAACCAGAAAAAGTTGACAAAATCCAGATGAATTTAGTCAATTGTTTACGCTGTATCGCTAAAAAGAATCATAAAAATCCTGACGAAAGAATATGGCAGATATTTGACAAATTTATGATACTTCGAAGTTTATCCGAGCATGGACCTGAGATTTTTGCCAGAAGGTCAAAATGGGATGCTGTGAAAGACCGTCCTCTTCTACTAGAAATGATAAACCCTGAAAACCAACCAGCCTAACATGGGTTATTATTTTTTTGGAAGATTTTTATAAAAAAAATATTTATGTTATATTGAATGAATATTCACTTTTTGCATATTTCAATCGGCTATTGACAATGAAACCAGCATAATTTATTATCTACAAAACATTTTATTGATGTATCAATATTGTTCTAAAACATGACATGCATAGTCTCAGCAGTTTCAAATTGAAGCTATGTTTTCTGATATTTGCAGTTATTTTATTTTTAATTAGCAAGAGAAGAGATCCATTTTTGAATTTTATTGAAGAAATATTGAAAAAGAAAAGTAAATTTTTAGATTTCAAAGAGTAAGGAATATTTTCTAATGTTTTTTTATTCCATTTTTTTTGTTTATTGTTTGAAAAAGTGAGACAACTCGTAGTTAAGTGAGATCGTTTTTTCTGTCAATGCAAACCTTATTTAAGTAGTTTTTCATATATCTTAGCTATTAAGAATTTGCCTTTTGCAATCATCAATTTTCAATTACATTTGTTTTCATCATAAATGTTAAATAACAAGTGACAATTATTTGCCAGGTCTCGCACAATACACGAGATTGCATTTTTATACCATTGGCAACATATTTGTTTTACCTAGTAGTTGGTATCTGAACAAAACCAGTGACGGATCCAGGGGACGAAGAGGGCGTACGCCCTTTATATCGCCAAAACAAAACATCTTTCTCACAATTTATATGATGTTTTAGCAGAGAATCGTCACTGAAAAGTGAGCTTTTGATGATAAGTAAATTATTTGTTGTTGCATCAATATCAAAATGTCGAAAGAGTTTAGAAAATTACTGTCTCATAGGACTGAAAACGGCATATTGCAGTTTTTGAAAGCATTTGTAACAATCACTACGCTTTTTACCCAAATAAATTTTAGTTGAAATAAAATTTTTAATCATTTACTATTTCTGTCTGTATATTATTGTCATTATTGTACATGTTACCCAAAGGATAATCAGTATACATGACATACTCAAAACACAAAATGTTGCCAAAGGATGACCTAAGATACATATATGTAATACTTTAAACCAGAACCATTTCCCTGGATCTTTGACATAGTTGAAAATCTTTTAATTCATCGTTTCAGAATCTAGTGAATTTTGGGTAATGTTTTCACAAGCGTACATCAAAACGTCGTGATTCGCTTACAGCGTTCTAAACAATGGGAATTCAACCAATGACGCGTCGTAATTTTCATTTTGGGGTATAGACAATGAAATTATCCACACTCCTTTAGGTTGTGAAACCGCGAATTGACCATAGACATATACAAAATGTATTGGTTATGCTTGATGCCAGAACCTTTTTCGTTGATCTTGGACCTTAGGAAAATATGTAGGGCATTCTCAATAATTCCAATTTGTCAATCATTATTAAAATGTAAGACAGCAAACTCTTGACACAGATATGTTTGCAATTTAAAAAATACAAAATGGCGTTACAAAATACAAGCTGCCGGTGATGTAAAGGGTGTATTTTGTCGAATGCATTAACACGAGGAAGTTATAAATACGTCAAGCGCCACTATATGTAGCAAGGATATAGAAATAAAGACCAGTTTAACGTTAGGCAGTAATAACCTTGACTATAGGGCTAACATTTAGGATAAAGAGGAATAAGCTAGCCTTTTCCACACTTTGAAGGTTTTACTGGTAAAGCCTTTGTGTTCCGTCTTGTTTATACCATACGTCCATACGTAGCCTATTATAAGCGAAAAAAATAAAATACCCCTACTGAGAATGTAATTATTCTTCAGTGACAGTTAATGTAATTTGGTCTTTAATAAAAGGTAAATGCATTATATTTTATTAGTCTACTTTTAATTTGTGTCCCTTGAATTTAATCAATGGTGACAGTTTCAAGTCCATTGGCAAATTCTACAAGAATAGACAGGGGAACAACATGTTTATGAAATAAACAATTGCTGCTTGTATTGGACCAAGTCGGAAATCTATATTTCACCTTTTTTTAGGGTATCAAATTTCATAGCATCAACACGCAAAAGTAACATTATAGTTTTGAATATTATACATATAAAAAGCTTTTCCATTATAGATCACGTTTAAATATTGTAGTAGTAATGTCTCTAACAAGCATGTTTATTTCTGGGATTGTGGTCTTTTATATGGTAACCTTCGCAGGTGCGACGAGTTCTTGCCGAACAGCAGACGGTTAGTAGGTAAAAAGTTTAGATGATTACCAACAATACTAATTCAAAGCAGCAACAATTCCGAAACAGCTAAGACGGACAGCACGAAATAAATTAGAAAACTAAAGCTTTACAATTTGTATTCTGATAAAGAATCATATCGAGTGGCTCCTATAAAACTGAATTTTAAGTGCTCTCGAACTGGTTTGTCTTCATTTAGTTGAAGCACCAGTCTTCTTGATAATCAAATCAATTGAGTCGAAATCTAAATAGATGAATGAACGGGTGTGTGACCTTCAAGTTTGTAACATTTTGCTGATGAATTCAGCTATGAAAAATAGCTAGATAAATATGATTATTTATATTTGTTGTTATTCCGACAATATTAAAGTCAAGAGTTTATCTCAATAGAAACTCTACGATAATTTAATGTATCGGTTCTCCTATATATACTCTGTTTAACAGGCTAAGACGTACAACACGAAATAAATTCGTAACTAAAGCTGTACCATTCCCAATTGCAATCTGATAGAATAATATCGAGTGGTCCTATTGAACTAATATATCGAGTGCTCTCTAACAAGTATGTCTTGCTTTATATGTGGAACCATTTAAAGTAATTGAGACAAAATCAAATCAAGATAAATTAACGGGAGTGCGACCTGTAATTTTGTATCATATTATAAATAATGTTAAAGCTAGATTAAAATGACCATTTAGTATTATTGTTTTACCAACAAATTGCTCAGCTAAAAATTAATCTCAGTAGAAACTCCAATGTATTTCAATTATTCGGTGTTCATACTGCCTCTATTACTCTCCTGAGTACTCCAAAACTGCATATCAATGTGTTGTTTACGTCAAAGACTTTCATAATGTATGAACCCACTTTGATAAATTTGATTGACCCAAACTGATCAATCTATCTTCCGAATTACTGGTGCAGTAAATGTTTCTATCCAACAAAAACACAGTCAAAATCAATCAAAAAGATCGATTATCGGATTTTCATCATATTGATATTGTACAATATCAGCTAATGGACAAAATATATCAATACTTTTTTGAACTCGTTCACTACAGTAACTTGACACAATCTTCATAAAGTGACTCGTATCTGATATTTTACTGTATCAATATGCAGGCAACTCGAAAATCGAAACTGAATAAAACGCTAATATAGTATAACCTTGACTATATACATCGGGGTCAATTACGTATAAACTTCAATAGTTTCGTAAAAAAACTTAGTAAATCACAGTTGCAACTAAAAAAATACAATATCAGTTTTAGCTTTAGTTAGGTAGCTATAAATAATTGCATGTATTCTCATATAAAAACCTAATGTATTCGTTACAGAAAACAACCATTTATGCAGTTTGCAATTGAGGTAAATTAAAAAATAAAAATAAAAACACTTTTGAACCAATTTCAGGTCAATATGATGTCACTGTGAATTATCGTGGTAAAAATGGTCAAGAAACTTCTAAATCTACAGTAATTGTATTTTACGCCTTCATGTCAAAATCAATTAGGAGCCCGGCCGTTGGTCGCCGACTGGTATTTGATTTAATAAAGACAAACCAAGGTGGTGGATATAATCGCCACACAGTCGTGTTTACCTGTCCAAGGAATGGGACATACGTTTTCGTGTGGGTTAGACTGGTTTCTGCATATCATTCCTTTGAGTTTATGATCAATAATTCTGTGTATGGATCAACCTACATTTATAACAAATATACCGACGGTAGCGATAGTGGTACAGTCGTTGCGAATGTGTCTAAGGGCGATAGTGTTTATGTTCGTATGCACTCTTCCTATAAAGGTATAGGTAAATTAAATAGTAATGAACACGGCAGACCCGCATTTTCTGGTTGGTTACTGAACTAGACAGTTTTATTTAAATAAATGCATTCTCTCAAATGTTTTTGATGTTTATAACGTAGCATTCCAGCCCGAATATAGTGGATTACCTTAAGCTATTGCGTAGTACATCTTTGCTAGCCAAGATTTACCATCCAGTCCCTTCTTCGCGATCGAGAAGGACAGGTGGGATTGATGCGGATCATAATCCTTGGCCAGCAAAGATGTAAGTAGAACTGCTTTAAATTTAGTTCGAAAGTTGAACAGAATTCAAACATTCAGTTTTTTTTATACAAATAAAATATCTAGTTTGAGTATTCTTTGTAATGCAAAAATTCGGCCCTATCTGTTTTTTTAATTGTTCAATCATTGAAAGTTTCAATTTGCATTTGTTAAGACAATGCCGCATAAATCTTTATTTCCATTTTAAATTCATAACTAGTTTACACATTTTATGGGACAATATATCTATTTCAATCTGCTATTATAAAGATTACTTGTTTTGACCAGCATCAATTAACGCTATCAGGTTTTTTTTTTGTTCTACAATGCAGAACTATCTAAAAGCGACCTCCCTCTCACTGGATGAATTTTAATGATAACTACGACAATCAATTACAATAGTTTCTTGTAACACAGAAAACATGATTATCGATTGTTGTTTAGCAAAAATACAATACTCTTTAATCCAGAAAAATGATTCATACACCTAGTTATCATTGTATTATGTTCATTTACTAACAGTTGATAAATACCATTGCTGTAAGCGCTGTTAGTCTATGGTATCACGAGACAAGTATACGTAGTAAATACTACTAACTTCCACATACAAAGATGGCCTTAAACTGAATTCAGATAAAAATAGACCCCTTTTAGTCATATTGCCAAAAAAGTTTTCAGGTTTTAGACATCATTGGCTTTCATATTTTTTGGTTTGAGCGTTCCTGTTGATGCTTAATCCTGAATAGTGCTTTGTACGCAGCAAATAAATACTGTCATTTTACTTTTTTAAGATCAGAAATTAACAAACTTTTCATAAGAACCAATTGGGTATTTTCTTAAAATTAATTCAATTAACTATATCTACGAAAAATTTACTAACACTAGAATATTAGGCGATACACAGATAAAAAAGATTGTACAAAAAGGCAATCCAAAATTTCTACAGAAACAGAGGGACATCGTTCTATTTAGTTTGTTAATTTGCTACTTTTATGTTATACGCCCTACCTTCTCCTCAAATGTATTAACACTTTATTTTCCTGAATAACAGTCGTTATTAGAATCTTTTCTGTCAATATAATTGTTTCTCTTAAAGATAATTAAAAATATATTAGACATTAGAACTAAAACCCGGAAACTGATATATTGAAGATCATAAATTCTTACTGCCCTCTCCCAAATACATAATATGATAATACGACATCATGACACCTGTTAGCAGTGTTGTTTTTGATATGTTTTGAGCTCACAGTAACCAACCAATTGAGTGCTATCTAGCTGCCTTTGCCATGATAGCTAGCTCCCTGTCGAAGCAAGCACGTCTTGGTCCTAACAAATTTAAACAAAAACTGTTCCCAAGGGATCAACTTGGATAATGATCTTAAACATACTTAAATAACTTTACATCACAACATTTTGGCTAGATCATAGATATATGTTTACGTGTTATGATTGATATCAGAACCTTTATCGTGAATGTGGAAAAATAATTTCAAATTGTCAAACCTTATTAAAATGCAAAACAACAAACTCAAAACTTAACATGCATGTCTTTAAATGTACACTTCTGTAAAATCCATATTCTGGTAATAGTCACTTGTTTTTGTTTTTCTCATTTGACAATAGTTCGCTAAATATCGTTACTTGAAGCCTATTTATTTTGACAAAACAAGAAAACCGATGACTAGAGATGAAACATATAAAAATGTATCAAAAAAAAAATAATCATTACATCATATCAGATATAAATCTTAACACAGATATGTATGCAAGTTATAAATACAATGTGGCACAGCAAAACACAGCAGTCTGGTGATATACGGGTGTGTTTTGTCGAAGGCATTGTTATCAGGATGTTTTAAATACGTTAAGCGCTACTCAAGGTAGTAAGGATGCAGCCCATTTAATTTCATGCAGTAGTAACCTTAATCACAGGGCCTATATTTAGGATTTGCTAGAGGAATTAATTTGCAACCATAACTACTGAAGGTGTATATGGGTAAAAATTTGTCTAATAGATAAAATAAGATGAGGTATGAGTGCCAACGAGACAACTCTCCATCCAAGTCAAAATTTATAAAAGTAATTAAACCATTATAGGTCAAAGGACGGTCTTCAACACGGAGCCTTGGCTCACACCGAACAGCAAGCTATAAAGAGCCCAAAAATTACTTGTGTAAAACCATTCAAACGGGAAAACCAACGGTCTAATCTATATAAAAAACGAGAAACGAGAAATACTTATGAACCACATCAACAAACGACAACTACTGAACATCAGATTCCTGACTTAGGACAGGGCAAACAATTGCAGCGGGTTTAAACGTTTTAATGGTACCAAACCTTCACCCTTATCTGAAACAATAGTGTAACATCACAATATAGAAAGACACACTTTAAAATATCAATTGAAATGGCTTAACTCAATCAAAAGACATATTAACACCAGTGAACATACACTGAACAAATAAATTTGATCTATAATACAATGCAAATACAAAATAAATCAACTAAGGGAAGAATAATTAAAGTAACATGTTATACCGCTGTGAAACAATTTAAGAAACACAATATGCTTGAACAAAAATATCAGCCATTTGCAATTACTTTCAACACAGGTAAATGAAAATAATTTTGTTGTTAGGTATACGTGTACAGTTCAAATGGAGAAAGCAAATATTTTTACAAAATAAATAGTTTTGATGTTCATAGTACGAAGACGTGAAAATCTATAGTAATACCAAACACATATCAAAGCTGGTATATAGACCAGATATAACCCTGAATAAGTAAACATTAAATAACAAAAAAGCATTACAATTAGTATCAACAGGTCAAATAAACAAGAAAGTACGATTTGAGAGTACTCGCAGTTTCTGACAGCTAGTTAAAAGCCAAAAACAATTTATAATAAAAAATCATGCATCAGAGACTAAAATCAACTAAAACACATCCCAGGGATTTAGTATTTTAACGTCATGGACAGTCAAAGAAGACAGTGCAATGCCAAAAATAAAAGTATCGACAGGCAGTAGGATAGCTAGGAGTTAACCTCTTAATAGATCAAAATGAACGTGGGTGTGTCTTTATACATCCCGTTTGAAAAGAATACAAATTTAGTTATGTTTTAATTTGCTGATGACAAAATTGATATTAGTGCCAATGTAAACTATATGCAAAGATCTAATTACAACATTGGTAAGATAACATTTACTAATAAGTTTGTTTAAAGGTTCGATGAGTTTACACGGATCACATAGTGATTTCCGAGCTTTAAGTACAATATAACCGTAAAATTTAGGATGTGAAATACCGTTTTAATCAGTTTTCTACAGGTACAGCCAAATTTACTAATCAAATCTTTGTATTTATGAAAGAATTTAGTAAAAGTTTTACGTAATTTATGGTAACGAAATCCCTGACTTAATAATTTACCAGTGATGCATTGATTACGTTCGTTAAAATATGTGACATCACTACACACGCGGGCATAACGAGTTGGGATATATAAACACCGTATGATGGAACCAAAGGAACATCGCCGTCTAAAAAAGGAAAATTAACAATAGGGAATGAAAAGTCGTATCTTTTGTCGTAAATTATAGTATGGAGTTTTCCTTTAGAGATTGAAATGTCCAAATCTAGAAAAGGACAACTACTGCTGTTTATGTTAGATTTAGTTAAAGAAAGTTCGTTTGGGTAAATTTCGGTAGTATATTCAGAGAACTCTGGATTTTTTAACGCAAAAATATCATCCAGATAACGGAAGGTAACTCTACATAGAGTTTTCTTATTTTCAGTGACAGTTAATATCCTTTGGTCTTTGGTAGCTAGCTACTTTTTGGCTCCTTGAATTTGATTAATTGGGGATATTTTCAAGTTCATTGGCAAGTATTACAAGAATAGTCAGGGGCACAACGTGTTTATGAAATATACAATCGGTGTGTGTGCTAAAACAAGAATATATTTTGCCCACGTTTTCTCGATATCAAATTTCATATCATAAACACGCAAAAGTAACATTATAGTTTTGAATATCATACGTTTAAAAAGCTGTCTCGTTGTAGATCACGCTAGAATATTTCAGTCGGTATGTCTCTAACAAGCATTTTGATTTCTGGGATTGTGGCCTTTTATATGGTTAACTTCGCAAGTGCGACGACGAGTTCTTGTCGGACAGCAGACGGTAAGTACATTAAGTCTAGATGATCACAAACAATACTCATTCAAAACAGAAACCACTCAGAATATGCTAAGACGAACATCTCGAAATAAATTGGACAACTAAAGCTTTACAATCCGCAATCTGATCATATCGAGTTCTCCGATTAAACTGGTATATCCAGTGCTCTCGAACTAGTATGTCTTACTTCATATGTAGCACCAGTCAATAATTAATTAAGACGAAATCAAAACCAGATGAATTAACGCAACTTCAATTTATAGCATAATGAAAGCTCTATAAATGGCAAAATAAAAATGATTATTTTGTATTGTTTTTATACAAGTAACTTGCAATATCTAAATAGAAACTCCATGGGTATACACTTAATCGGCTCTCTGCCTCTATTACTCTGGCGCTCAGCTTCTAAAAAAACTGCATTGCAGGGGTTATATTTTTTCAACAGGTTACCTAGTCTTTGGTACACGGTCACTGAAGTATGAGCAATTTAAAGAAGTAAAATCAAGCTTATAATCGGTACAATTTTGGGAGAAAACGTTTTGTTTTATGTTTTCTATACACGACACAAGTCGTCGGAAAACAGTACACTTTTCCCCCTAATTGCACCGATTATATGGTTTATTTAACTTCTTAAAGATACTCCTTTCTGACAGGC